AGCGGGCCCCCCCCCCCCCGCCCCAAAACAGTAGAGTGGCACCTTTAAGACCAAGTTTTATTCAGGTACAAGCTCTCCCTCCTCTGCGAGGACAGATCTGCATGTTCACCCCCCCCCCCCAATAGCTAGCAATCCAACACAGTCCAGTGGCGCCTGAGCAGTGGGTGTTGCCTTCTGACACACTTCTGGTGATGCCAGGGGGTGTGACATATGCAAATAAGTTATGCTAATGAATTATGCTAATGAGCTCCTGCACCTCTTTTTCTACAAAATGACCCCCTGCTTTGTATTAAGAGAAAAAATGGAGAAAGCAGTGTTTGGAAAATCCTAAGCCAAGAATTGAAGTAACATGAGAACACATAGGGTAATGTCCTCTGCCCAAAGAAAGTAGATCTTTTGGATTTGGTAATACTTGGATCTATTGTTCAGCTTGCATAATAAATTATAACACAGCCCGAGTTTGTTCTCTCTCTCTTTCTGCCTTCTTAAACTCTTTAGCCTTTCCTCACAGGGAAGGGGCTCCAACCCCTTGATCATTCTGGCTGCCTCTTTTCCACCTGAACAAAATCCTTTGAGATGGGAAAACAACCAGAACTCTAAATACTGTTCCAAGTGCAGCCTCACCATAAAGGTACTGTCGGAGCAGCTGTTTTATTTTCAGTTCCCTTCATTCCAGCATGAACCCTGCCCTCTTGAACTACCTCAGCATATTAAGTTGACATTTCCATTGAGATATAACCTCCAGGTCTCTTTTCTCAGGGAACCAGAGCCACTGCAGACCAATGTTCCCTCTAAGCTGTGGAGTCTTGTGAGCAAAAAGTCTACTTTGTGAGCTACTGGCATTGAAGTTGTGAGCCAGTGATTTGGCTGCTGCATAAATTAGCTTGCTCTGAAGCCATCCTTCCTGAGCAAAGACAAAAATGTGTGAGCCGGAGGCTAAAAAACTGTGAGCTAGCTCACACTAACTCAGCTTAGAGGGAACACTGCTGCAGACCTCTCATCAGGGCATACGTAAAGTTAGGATTTTTTTACTTCAACTTGCACCGCTTTGGTGAATATACCTTGCCATCTGGAATGCATTAGACTTTGCCATCCTGAATAATTTGGCATCGTGAACAGCTTACCTTTGCCGCTATTTCCTTCTTCAACTGCTCTTCGAGTTGATTTCTCCTTTCTTGCAAGCTTTCCAGTTGCTGCGTCTTTTCCTGCAAGGTGGACTCCAACTGTGAAAGCCAGAAGCAAGGGGTTTGAATGGGGCTCAAAAGCTGCACAGCTAACTCTGTGCCACCCCACCCTTCTTTTTGCTTTCCTAAAAACTAGAAGGAAAGGCTTTCTAAAAAAATAAATAAAAACCCTGGCCTCGGCAGCAGACCTGGTCGCACATCCTACACGCCCTAGTCACTTCCAGGTTAGACTACTGACACACACTCTGGGTATGGGCTGCCTTGAAGGACTGTCTGGAAACTTCAGCTCATGCAAAACAACATGGTTAGAATCTTAACTGGAACCTATTGCAGTGAAGGCCCGGACCTTGATGACCTGGGCTAGTCTGATCTTGTCAGACCTTGGGAGCTAAGCGGGGTCGGCCCTGGTTAGTTCTGGGATGGGAGGCCACCAAGGAAGCCCAGGCTTGCTGCACAGATGTAGGCAGTGGCAACCCACCTTGGTGCCTCTCTCCACCTTGAAAACTCTGCGGGGTCGCCAGAAGTCAACTGCGACTTCACAACACTTTACACAAAAATTGCCGTGAAAGTCCTGTGCTTTATCGGTTGCCCTGGCTTCTAATTTGCCTCCAGGTCCAATCCAGCCTTTATAACCTTCAACAGTTTGAGCTACAAACACCTGAAAGACAATCTCCCCCCCCCAAAAAAATGTAAACTGACTGGGACCTAACAACATAAGAAGAGCCCTGCTGGATCAGACCCAACGGTCCATCTAGTCCAGCATCCTGTCTCACACAGAGGCCAATCAGTTCCTCTGGATGGCAACAACAGGGTATAGTGGCCAGGGCCTTCCCCCGGTGTTGCCTCCTGGCTCTGGGATTCAGAGGTTTGGTGCCTCTGAACATGTAGAACCTGAGGCTTCTTAGCAGGTCTCTACTGCAAAAGTCTGCACGGTTCACTGTGAGGCTGGCCAGGATCCGTGGGAGAGGCTTCTCCGTTACCACCCCACCCCCTCCCGCTCTCTCTCTCTCTGCAAGTACTGCACCTCCCGGCCTTCCACTGCAGCCTTTGGGATTATTTAGCCATTTTACTGTATTGCCCTGAGAATGTCAGACTTCCTGACCCCTCCACACCTGTCATGGGTACCGCAGTATCTACTACTCTGTATAGTTTTACAGCGTTTATACTGATGGCATTGTTTATCATTGTTACGTCTGATGAAGGCTTTTATTTGACACTGTCCGCTCTCACTGTAAGCTGCCTTTATAGTTCCTCGGGAACAGAAAGGTGAGATATGATTTTCTAAATAGATATAAATATGCTTTACCAGAAAAGCATAGGGGCAGAACAAGTACCGTTTCCCAGTATCATACTCCTCTTGTCCCTCTAAGCATTAGTCATATACAAAATTGTGCTTACGAAAGAGTCCTCACTGTGTCAAAAAAAAAAACAGGCACAGAGCCTACTGAGGAAATTCCGCTGTATTCTGCAGTTCTCAGTGGGTGTGACTTGGAGAGTTCTTTGCCAGAGGGCCACTAGAAGCCACAGCAAGAGGGGATTTCCCTTTTAACCTCTGCTCCTCAGGTTTTCCTCTTACTCCCTTGACTGTGGGATACTCAGCGGCTGGGGGCCTCTCTGCGTGATGTGCTGTTCCCGGGAATGCCTAAAGGTCCTGGTGGACCCAAACACATTGCGTGGGAAGCAGCCCTAAAAGCATCCAAATCCAATCCTTACCTGTTCCTTTTCTGCTTTTATCCTCTCCAGTTCTGCTTTTAGACTGGAAGCAGCAGCTGCAAGAGAGGAGGAGGAAGACATCTAGAGTATTATGGGGTTTGGATTTTAAAACGACTTTCTCAGTTAACAGGCCTCGTGCGGTTTGCATGAGCCGTACGCAGACAGATTATGCAGCACAAGATGTTATTCACTCAGATGTAAATCCTTCGAGATCTCGGGCACTCTTGAGAAAGAGAACCCCACGACGGCTTTGTGCCATCTAGCGGTGCCATCCTGAGCACTGAAGTCAATGGACTCCTCAGAACAGCACTGTCACATTCCCTTATCTGCAAAATGGTTATCAGGGGCTGAGTGAAAGCTGCTCGCCCAAGATCATTCACAGCAAGTTTCCCGGATTTCCCCACTTTGGACTCAATACGCTGCTCACAGGGCAAGCTCTCAGTCACAGACGTAGGACTTTGCACACTGAGGATGCTCCACACGTTGGACAAAAGGCAGAACCTGCCCAATCTTTCTATCAACCACACATTTTTGTGCCCATTAGAGCAAAGATGTGAGTCAGGGAATAGACCGGCTCCTCCCTCTTACTAAAGTATAATCTCATGGTGCTGTGAAAAGATGAGGATCCACCTTTTATTCTAAAACGTGAATTAGACCTGTAAAGAGAACTGACATAGTGTTGTGCTTGTTGGAGTCTCTCCACATTGATTGTCTGGAAGGCTGACACACATTCCGATTGGTTAATTTTGTACGTTTTCAGCTTTGGTGAGGGAAGTCTGGCTGGAATGAAAACCTGACGTGGGCTCTGGGAACAGAAGGAGCTTTGTGGAGTAGGCTGCACACTGGGAAGAGATCCCAGGAAGCCAAGAGATGGGGAGCTTCACCTAAAAGGCGAGCGAAGGTCAGTTGTGGTGAACTGAGAAAGAGGAAACCTGAGAAATGGAGTAGTGGAAGCAGCAGCAGAAGAGTTGGGGAAATGAAGCAAGAGGGGCTTGAAGGCCTTAGAGAATTGTAAGCTGCAAGCCTAAAAGAGTCAAGCAGCAGCAGCAGCAGCAAGGGGTACTGGGGAGGGGGGGGAAGCAGAGGAAAGAGGAGGAGGCAGGAACTGAATCTGAGATATCATTTTACACCTGCGCAGCCAGTTCTTCAGTTACAGACTTCTAGTATCTTGAAAACATACGGGATGTTTCAAACAGGTTGGATTCAAACTGAACTGGCAATTTCCACCAGTTCCCACCGCAGACGCCCGCTCATGTCGCCCCCAGGAGCAGTGCTTTGTGGAGGTCAGTGAGCTGCAGGGGAAGGGAGGCAAGTTCTGCTCCACTGATGGAAAATTTAGGCAGGATCCAACCCAGTGTTTCCAGAAAGCATATCAACATTTTGTCAGAATGCTTCTTGAAATCTGGCAAAGCTAACAAGGCTGCTGTAAGAGTTACCAAGGTGAAAAAGAGGACTGTATACATTCAGTGTGGTGGTGTGGTTAAGAGAGTGTTGGATTAGTACCTGGGAGACCCAGGTTCAGATCCGCACTTGTGCCGTGGAAGCCCGTTGGGTGACCTTGGGCCAGTCACACCCTCTCGGCCTAACCTACTTCACAAGATTATTGTGGGGATAAAATGGAGGACAGGAGGAGGAGGTAAGCCACCGTGGGTCCCCACTGGGGAGAAAGATGGGGTACGAATTAAATAAATAAAAATAAAATAATCCATGTAGGATGACGGTAGTGACTGCAAGCAATCAGGATGTGTACGTTATGGAACAGGGGTCATTCGGGGGGGAGGTATTTGTGAATCTCCTGCATTGTGCAGGGGGTTGGACTAGATGACCCTGGTGGTCCCTTCCAACTCTATGATTCTATGATCTGCTGACCTTAGGACAAGGCTCTTGGCCAGCACTACATGAGCTGGTCCTTCTCCAGGCCCCAGACTTGTCCCTTCTCACCTATTTCCTCTTTGCAGTTCTCTATTTCTAGCTGCAGCGTTTCTTCTATGTTCTCTTTAAAACACTGCTCGGCTTGAATCTGTTCTTTCAGGAATAAGATTTCCGCCTTCAGTTTTTCTTCGAGGTGTTCTGCGGCTGTCCGTACGCTAATGATATCTTCACGGTATTTGAGGACCAGTTCACGGAGTTCCTGGAAGGAAGAATGACAATGGGGTTTAAAATAAGCCGCACATCCACACACGCCTAGTTTGAAGTCGTACTGCTGGGCCACCCATCTCAATACTGTCTGTTAAGGACTGGCAGCACCTTTTCAGAGTCTCAAGCAGAGAGGAGTCTTTCCCAATATCTAGAACTGGAGGTGCATTGGGCTGAACCCCAGACCTTCCCTTGCTCGAAAGCCAGTCGAATCAGAGCAGGTAGAGAAAGAGGTACTTTTCTCCCTTTCTCACAATAGAAGATCTCGTGGGCACTCCATGAAATTGCTGAGTGGTCGGGTTAGAACGGATAAAAGGAAGTACTTCTTCACCCAAAGAGTGATTAACACATGGAATTCACTGCCACCGGAAGTTGTGGCGGCTACAAGCATGGACGGCTTCAAAAGGGAATTAGATAAGCATATGGAGCAGAGGTCCATCAGTGGCTATTAGCCACAAGGTATAGCTAGGGGCTCTGGGGCAAGTGATGCTCTGTCATCTTGGTGCTTGGGGGGGTCAACAGTGGGAGGGCTTCTAATGTCCTGGCCCCACTGGTGGACCTCCTGATGGCACTGGTATTTCTGGCCACTGTGTGACACAGAGTGTTGGACGGGATGGGCCTTTGGCCTGATCCAACATTGGTGTCTCTTATGTTCTTATGAATCCAACTCTATGGATGTGGTGCTCATCTCCGTTTCCAAGCCAAAGAGCCAGTGCTGTCCAAAGACATGTCTGTGCCTGGCATGACTAGATGCCGAGGCGCACAGAAAGCTGTTACCTTCCCACCGAAGCGGTACCTATTTATCTACTTGCAATTTCTTGCTTTCGAACTGCTAGGGTGGCAGGAGCTGGGGCCAGAGACGGGTGCTCACTCCGCCATGTGGCACTCGGGTCTTGAATTGCTCAACTACCGACCTTCCAGTCTGCAGCTCAGCGTCTTAACCTCTTGAGTCACTGCAGCCCTCTTATTGCATCTACACCCCCCCTAAAAGGGGGGGGGGGGAGACCGTTAAACTACGCTGCTTAAATGTCCCAGAGCTGAAGAACTCAGTGCGATCTGAAGATGTGGAGAAAATAAGAGAAACACGAAGTCCAATACAAATTGAGGGGGTCATGGCAATTTCCAGCACCATTTTCCAACTCAGAATTGCCCCTACCCAGCTGTTTTAAAAGATGATAGTGAAAGGGCAGGGGGAGATAGGCTTAATGCACAATAATGCCAGTCTTTTTTTCTCCTCGCTGTTTTTTGCTATCAAGTCACAGCTGACTTAGGGCGGCCCCCTCGTGGGGTTTCCAAGGCAAGAGACATTCAGAGGTGGTTTGCCACTGTCTGCATCCACGTCACGACCCTGGACTTCCTTGGTGGTCTCCCATCCAACTCCTATACAGGGCTGACCCTGCTTAGCTTCCAAGATCTGACAAGATCGGGATATCTAGGTCAGGATCAATGTTCCCTCTAAGCTGAGTTAGTGTGAGCTAGCTCACAGTTTTTTAGCCTGCAGCTCACAGATTTTTGTCTTAGCTCAGGAAGGATGGCTCCAGAGCAAACTAATTTATGCAACAGCCAAATCGCTTGCTCAGAATTTTGATGCCAGTAGCTCGCAAAGTAGAAATTTTGCTCACAAGACTTCGCAGCTTAGAGGGAAGATTGGTCAGGATCTTTTTTTCTCCTACCAAAACCTAGAACATCTGGGGCAGTTTTGATGGAAGGGGGAAATGGCACGAGGGAAGCACATACCTCCTTCATTGGAGCCACGGCCTCAGTGTGCATCAAGCCCTCTCGTTGCTACTAGAACTAAACTGCACACCAGGGGAGGGAAACACAGATTCTCCATTTATCTTTGTATTTTGTTTTAGCTATTTAAAACGCACTTGCTAAAAGAGTCACCTGAGGGCACTTCATAATAAAATACAATACATACAATGAGAGGTTATTAACAATAAAAAGGAATTGCCAAAATATGTTGTTGTTCAGTCGCAGTCAAGTCCAACTCTTTGCGACCCCGTGGACCACATCACGCCAGGCCCTCCCTTCCTCTGCTATCCTCTGGAGTTTGTTTAATTCATGCTCATTCCATCCAAAACGCTGTCTAACCATCTCATCCTTTGCTGTCCCCTTCCTCTTTGACCTTCAGTCTTACCCAGCATCAGGGTCTCCTCCAGTGAGCGCTCCCTTCTCATTGGGTGGCCAAAGTGTGAGCTTCAGCTTCAGTATCTGGCCTTCTAGGGAATAGTCAGGTTTGATTTCTTTTAGGATTGACTGATTTGATCTTCTTGCAGTCCAAAAGGGACTCTCAAGAGTCTTCCTCCAGCACCATAGTTCAAAAGAATCTATTCTTCGGCGCTCAGCCTTCCTTATGATCCAACTCTTGCAACCATACATTACTACTGGGAATACCATCTATTTGACTATGTGGACTTTTGTTGGCAGGGTGATGTCTCTACTTTTTATTACGCTGACTAGGTTTGCCATCGCTTTCCTCCCAAGGAGCAGGCGTCTTTTAATTTCATGGCTGCAGTCACCATCTGCAGTGATCTTGGATCCCAGGAACGTGAATTCTGTCACTGCTTCCATGACTTCCCCTTCTATTTGCCAAGGAGTGATGGGGCCTGTCATGATCTGGGCTGTGCCACCAGAGGACTACTAGGCCCAAGGAGCCTGGCTAGCAGTAGGTGAGGCTGGGCCTATAACTCCCAGAAGCCCCTGGAAGGTTTTGGAGCCAAAATGGACCAACAGGAAAAGAGGAGGGCTGGGAATAAAAGTTCTGGAGCAGCGGGAAGAGCTGTTCTTTCTTCCAGAGGGCAGAGCCAGGAGAAAGGCTGCTGCAGGGGAAAAACCCTCATTCTGGGGGAAGGGTGAGTAGTGTAAGGCCACTTGAGATAGTGAGCTAGGGAAAGTAAATTTAGACGCGTTAGGGCATTTGATTTCTTTTCTTTTCACCCACTTACTGTGTTTATTCTGCACCTTATTGTTTGACCTCATATAAAATAAACCTTTTCCTTGTTTTACTCTGCCTGGTCCTCACGCCTGTTATTCGGCCTAAAGGGAGGTCTGAAGGTCTTGGGAGGGTACACTGGGCCTTCTCAAGGGAACCTAAATCCAGAGTGGTGGCAGCGTCAGGTGACACCCCACCTGACTTGTGACAGGGCCGGATGCCATGATCTTAATTTTTTTGATGCTGAATTTCAAGCCAACTTTTGCACTCTCCTCTTTCATCTCTAGCAAGAGGCTCTTTAGGTCCTTTTCACTTTCTGCCATTAGAGTGGTATCATCTACATATCTGAGGTTGTTGATGTTTTCCCCGGCAATCTTAACTCTGGCTTGTGATTCATCCAGACCGGCATTCTGCATGATGTACTCTGCATATAAATTAAATAAGCAGGGTGACGATATACACCCTTGTTGTACTCCTTTTCCTATGCTAAACCAATCAGCTGTTCCATATCCGGTTCTAACTGTCACTTCTTGACCCTTATACAGGTTTCTCAGGAGACATGTGAGGTGGTCTGGTACTCCCATCTCTTTAAGGACTGGCCATCGTTTGTTGTGATCCACACAATCAAAGGCTTTAGAGTAGTCAATGAAGCCAAAATACAGAGGCCATTAAAAGCAGTCATGATCTGCATAACGGTTTATAAACACAACAGACTAAAACATCAAGCAGTACAAAAAGCTGCCTTATGCTGAATCAGACCCTTGGTCATTCAAGGCCAGTATTGTCTACTCTGACTGACAGAAGCTCTGCAGGGTCCCAGGAGAGGTCTTTTACTTCACCTCCTACCTGGTTCTTTTGACTAGAGATGCTGGGGACTCAGCCCAGGACATGCTGTATGGAAAGCTGAGGCTCTTCCACTGAGCCACCCCCCCCCCGGCCCCCCCCCCCCCCCCAATAATTACTGGCATTAAAACAGCAGTTACTGTTATCATGGAGAAGAGCCAAATGACACAGATAATACTGTAGGGGGGGTAGGATTGAAAGCCACAATTAAAATGCCTGGGTGGAAACCCCCTTTTTGGGACAGCATTAAAACTTAGCTTGGGACCAGGAACAGAGCTGAGGGCAGGCTGTTCTGACCCCTGCATGCGACAGAGAAGGTCGAGAAAGAAGTACTTTTCGCCCTTTCTCACAATATAAGAACTCCTGGGCACTCTATGAAATTAACAAGCAGCAGGCTTAGAACAGATAAAAGGCATTACTTCTTCGCTCAAAGAGTAATTAACATGTGGGATTCACTGCCGCAGGAAGTAGCGGCAGCTACAAGCATAGACAGCTTCAAGAGGAGACTGGATAAACATATGAAGCAGAGGTCCATCAGTGGCTACTAACCAAAAGGTATAGATGGAACATTGTGTCTGGGGCGGTGATGCCCTGTATTCTTGGTGCCTGGGGGCAACAGTGGGAGGGCTTCTGGAGTTCTGACCCCACTGGTGGACCTCCTGATGGCACCTGGGTTTTAGCCACTTTGTGACACAGAATGTTGGACTGGATGGGCCACTGGCCTGCTCCAACTTGGCTTCTCTTATGTTCTTATGTTTCTCCATCCATCTGGGATGTGCAGCAGCAAGATGAGAGGCCTTTTCAGTGCCTCCATCAATACTTTGCAATCACTGGCTGCAGGTGTTCTGGAAGAGCCCTTTGAGGATCTTATTTCCTAGGCCTGAAACAGGTTCCTGTTGCTGCAAGCTGTTGGCTAGTTATTGGTAACAAGTGGGGAACCAGTTTTGGCATGCTTTAACTTTGTATTTTGTAGCAGGCACTGGCTTGCTTTTAAGTGATTTTGTATGCCGCCTTGGATAAAGTGAAAGGTGGCATATGCATTTTGAATGAAACCTGAATACTGTCCAGTGACTTAAGAGCCATTTTTCTTCAAGCCTCAGTTTTCAACAAGAAGTTAGCAGCTAGATAAATAATTAGGGGCACTGCAACAATATGGCTTGTCCTGGTGTCTATACTTCTCAAAGAGTATTATAAAGAACAGACTCTCATAAATCTCCGTAACTGACTAGTTGTGTTGAATTACTAAGGGGGAGGAACAAGCATGAGACTGTTGAGTGATTAGACTCCAAGGAGGCATGTCTGAAACAAAAATGTGAAATTAAACATTTTTTTCCTTCCCACCAAGTACTTACCCCTAGTCCCTTAGGGAGCGAATGACTCCCAACATGGAAAACATATAAATCAGACTTTTTGCAGTATCAGAATAGAGCTTAAATACAACGACTGAGATCAAGCATACATGTATCACAGAGTTCACACAACTCTACATCTTCTAAACTCTGTTTCTAGTCTCAGTAAAGGAAAACTGTATCCTGACTGCGCTCAATTAATGAATTAAAGTGAACAGAATACAAAAATTATTCATGAAGTACAAAATACATAAGATAAGTACAAAGTATATAAAGGTATTCAACAGTTATTAATTATTGTTATAGGTTGTTAACAATGATCTCTGGAATGTTCAGCCGTTTCGAAAGATATCTTCTTCTGAACAGATGAAGGAAAATGAAGAACATGTAATGTATCTGGTCAGTTTTTTAACTGGTACATTCCAAGAAATTAATTACTTTCTCTGATATGTCAAAACATTACTGAGAGGAAGTTCCTGATGATTCCATACAGGGCAAAATGCTGTAAGATGCCTCCGGAGATCATCGTTAACAACCTATAACAATAATCAATAACTGTTGAATACATTTATATATTTTGTACGTCATGAATAATTTTTGTATTCTGTTCACTTTAATATTTAAACATTAATTTAGCGCAGTCAGGATATAGTTTTCCTTTATTGGGATCCTTTTTTGAAGTACTTCTTGGCTGTTACCATCTACTTTAATCTAGTCTCAGTAAAGACAGGTCCATTATCACAGCCATCAGAGAGGAGAGGAATCTTTCCTTTGCCAATAAGCAATGTTCCCTCTAAGCTGTGGAGTCTTGTGAGCAAAAATTCTACTTTGTGAGCTCCTAGCATTAAAGTCGTGAGTGAGCGATTTGGATACTGCATAAATTAGTTTGCTTGGGAGCCCTCCTTCCTGAGCTAAGACAAAAATGTGTGAGCTGGAGGCTAAAAAACTCTGAGCTAGCTCACACTAACTCAGCTTAGAGGGAACACTGCCAATAAGGTTGTAACCTGAATGGGCAGGAGAAGCGCATCCGGCCACAACCCTGGTTCAGAGAACGATAACCTGATTAAAAGGAGGCAAAGGCATCTGGGTGAATTATTCTAAACGTGCCCCGAACAAAGGGCAGTTGCACTTCTTGACAACCTGCACCTCAACAGTTGGGATACAAATTAGTTTACTTGAGTGTGCGTGCACACACACACACACATGTGCAGGCTTGAAACAAGCATGCACATGTTTATCGAGAACAACAGGCTGTGCGGCAGGTGCACTGAACTGAGCATTCTCGTCAAGGACTTCTTCCAGTTCATCACATCTAGAAAGTTAGCTAAGTGTATAAGGAAAAAACGTACCTCGCTGGATTCTGGGGGAGTGAAGTCTTCAGCCTGTTGCAAAGAGACATGCAGGCGATGTTTTCCTTGAAGGCTTTCGTTGTCCTTCTGGAGCCTCACCAACTCTTCAGAGACGCGCTCCCTCGACTGCATCAGGACCGCCTCCGGGGAAGAAACAAAGATGTAAAAAACTACAGTTCTGAATGCATTGCCTCTGATCTGGTCATGTCTCATTCTTAACATTTTGGAAATTTGCAAACGATAAGAGTATTTGCTGTGTGAACCGCACAGGGGCCGGGGTCAACGTGTGCAAAATCCCTCTTCTGTGTCCCACTTTGCGAGGCCTCCCTCCCACAATCCAGATTAAGAACAATAAGAAACTCATTTCAAGAGCTGTTTAGGCATGAGGGGAAGCCAAGCATTGGTTTTAAAGTGTATACCGCAAACGTGCTCTTAGTAAACAGTTTCTGCGATGCCTTACAAAGTAGATGATTAACACAAAACAACCAACAGCATACCCAATGAGACCACGAGACCACCTCCCAAAAGCACAACCAATCAAAATTAACTAAATTTAACCAAAGACCTGTACAACAGGCTAAGAAGACCTGCCCTGGACACCAAGAATGGGAGGCCGACCCCAATGGACCGCCTGGAGGAGGGAGCCGGAGCCGAAGAATAGCTAACCCGCTACCTGGGTGCCGATAGGCAGCCCCACCCCCTGCACTATGTGGCCTTAGGTAAGGGAATTAAATTGCATTTGCAACCTGCCTGTAAACTGCTCTGAGACCTTCGGGTCAGAGCGGTATATAAACTGAATGTAATCATAATAAATAAATACAAACAAAAGAAGCTTTCTCCCAAGACCTAGATTTAGAGGTGCCGGTTGAGCTGTTGTGGAGGGAGAATTTTACAGAAGACGAGCTACTGCAGAGAAAGTTCCATCTCTGATGTTGATTCACTGGACCTCCAAGGGACTTTGGACAGTTATTGGTGGGTGGGCTTATGTGGTCCTTTAAGTACCCTGGTCAAAGACCGGGTTGGGCTTTAAAAGCCAGTAAACCAGCATTTGGAATTGTGCTTGTAAGTGAATGGGCAACCAGGGTTAGTCTTTCAATACTGGTCAGACGCGATCACGGTAACTTGTGCCACTCAGCAATCTCACTGCACAATTGATGCTGCCAAACAGCCTTCAAGGAGCATATTGCAGTAGTCCAGTTTAGAGGTGATCAAAGCAGGAATAGATGCACCTATATCATGTTTATCAAGCAACGGCTGTGGCAGATAGAGCACCCCACTGAGTAAAGGAAAAATAGTATCCCTAAGTTACTGCCTAGACCAAAAAGATGTGCAGCATGAACGTCACCAGCATTTGACCTGAAGCTGCGGAATGAAGGATATTTGTGGTTCACTTGACAAACAGGAGAAAGAACTTGGGTGTTTCAAGGTCAGATGTCTCCGCTTCTTCAAATAACTTTGTCTTTTTATAGCTTTAGCAAGTTTGACAGTAAAAGTTAAAAAAAATCTATTGCAGAAAACACAATTTAACGGCTCATACTGGCATAATTCCAAGGGAATCTGGCAACATAATGCAAAGGGACTCAAAAGTGAACAGTCCTAGGAAGGCAGCGTATGGAATTGAAGGTGTGAAGGAGAAAGAAATCAAAACACAGTTCTCCTTAGGGTTTATGCTAGACATACAACATCTGGAAGGCACATCTATATGGTTAAAAAGCTGGCAAACATGATCCAGAGGCTATTTAGGCTCCTATAAACTGTATAGGTCACAGCGGGAACCAAGTGAGGGCTGGGGGAGTATTCAGGGTTCACCAGTGCTTTAAAGGCCTGGTAGGAAAGCTGGACATAAAATCGTAGATGTGATCTCGACCACCGGGTTGGTTCCACTTCAGATAAAATGAAGCTGTCCCAGAGCAGCCGCTCTAGGCTCCCAACACACAGTTTCCACATTCAGCACTTCTACAGTCATCACAAGAGCCTTAAGGCTACAAAATGTATCATCCTGAGTTTACACCCCAAATTTGGCACCTTCAGCCCATGCCTGAACAACCTCTCTTGTCACAGTATGAACTCTGTATGAAAGGCAGTAACAGAGTCCAGCTTCTGTCTCCGCTCTTCTTTTAACAAACATGGGGGGGGGGGGGGGGGGACGACTGTTGGGACTGCACCTACTTTGCTGGATCCTTCTGTGTCCATCAGTCTACAGGACAGCTGCTACTTTCCCTCTTGTTTGTGCACCTGACACCATCCTCCCTTCTCTTTCCCCCTTAGGGTGCTTGGCTGCCTCCTTTCCAAAGGCACAAACCTGTGCTCCACCAGCTCCAGCTCCCACTGGTCAAATAGAGGGAACAAGGGAATGGATGGACAACCAGCTCACTTAGCTATAACCTCCTTAGTGTTCTAGCACACAAAGGGATGCGCTTCTACAGTACTAGCCTGGAATAAGTGCTCACCTGGGCTAAGTGAAGGCTAAATGGATAAATAATAAGGCCATGACACGGTTGAAATATATGTATTTTTAAAAGCACCTCATTACCATTTGGTCCTGGACGTCTCTCTTTGCCTGAGAAAACGCCTGCTGTAGTTCATCAAGTAAAGTCTCGGACTCCTGAGCTCTTACAATAAGTGAAGAGATCTATCAAAGGGAAAAAACAAACAAACAAATCAGCACCATTAGGGAAAAAAATGCGAGCTCAATTTCTTATTAAAACACAACTTTGATTTGAGAGAAAGCAACCCTATGTTTATTGAAACCAAACTCTCATTTCATTGTCTCATGGACTACTTTCCTCTACTTAGCCCGCTGTCAAACCTTGCTTCGCTTTGCTCAGTTTGCCATGCTCGCTAACGGGAGGGGAGTGACTAATGTGTGAGTGGGAATCTTTCGCTTGTAGAGGCAGTAATTTTTCTGAAGATGTACCTTCCTCTTTCACAGAGGAATGTCCTTGAGACTTTCGGTGCCAGCTTGAGCTTGTAGATAACAGAATCACACATTTCCCAATTAGGCTGAGATGGCAATGACTAGGCAGGGAGTGTGATTGGGGGACGGGGGACGGGGAAAAGGGGCTATGTTTGAATTAACCTATATCTGGTCAGGTGTGTGCCAAAACCACCAGTTCTAACACAGCAATGTTCTGATATGGGTCTTCCATATATCTCAATAAACATATCACTGCCAAAGAGAGTATTGTTGAGAGTAACTTGACCAGGAGTCTGACACCTGCACAGAAATGAAGATCTCTTTTCTACCAACTATCTGTGGACCAGAGACTGATAATGAACACTGGTTTCGATAGCAGCTGAGACTTAAACTAAAGCAATTCAGCACCAGTTGAAGACAGCCATGGTCTCCTACTAGAACATAACATAACAAGAACTGTGCGGGACCAGATCAGCAACCCATCTTGTCCAGCAGCCTGTTTCACACAACATTGAACCAGTTGCCCTGGAGTCCCACTAACAGACCATAGGGAGCAAAGCCTTCCCATTCTAATGAGAAAGCTAGGCTTTCTATTAATTTTTATCTTGCTAGTTTTCAAGCTGTATTTCAGAGAACTCTTGGATTCTGCAGAAGTTGGCCAGGCACTCTACACTGAGAATCTGTTAAGAGTGCAGAAGTTGCTCAAAAAGTCTACAACAACACAGGAGTTCTACAGATCCAAATTCCCCAAGAGCCAAACTATGGTTTAAAAGCTTATACACGTTTTGCTGTCTCATTTGGTTCTGGTGCAAACAAAGGGGTCCAAGCCTATGACACGCTTGTGGCAAGCCACCGTTCTCAAATAAAGGGGTTTCCTTCCCCACGGTTTTTCTGTACCTGACTTTCCGATTCCTCGGTGCTTTGCTTCATGCGTTCCTCCAGCTCCTGTTTCTCCCGCAGTGTTTTTTCTAGTTGATCATTGGCCTGCCTCAACATCATCTGAAGCTTCTTCACCTAAGTGGTTAGGATGAGAATGCAATATAAATATCCTTTCTGCTTAAAAAAAAAAGGAGAGGATGATACTTCCCCTCAGCTCAAAAGCTATGGGAGCATCCGGAATGTGGAGTTCAGTCTACAAAAACATCATGAATTAATGATTAGATTACACTTGACAGGTTTTAAGGGAAGTTTGGCTGAAGCTAATGACCTCTGGAAAAGACCACCTTTCCAAACACCACCACCATCTGATTCTTTGTACTCAAAGCCAGATGAAGTACAGAATCCTCAGTTATTTCAGGTATTGGGAGGGGGGAGCTCTCAATATCAGTGGCCCCACCTTGAACACCCTTATTATCCAGGTTTGAACTCCATCTCTTCTTGGTTTAGTGTGATGTAGCTCTTTAAATTCAAGAGCATTTGACTAGAAAATTTATGAATGCAGAAACTACATTCCATCCCTGAGGCAATCCACTCCTGGTAGGTTGTATTTTTGGTTGCTCCCACATGGGAAGTGTTTCCCCATGCTTCTTCCGTTGTTGCTGCAACTGCACAGGCATTCACAGAGGCAATGGAGGGCCCACACTTTCTGTTCCTCAGACCCCCAACTCCCCGACACACACACACCAGAGGAGTTTTTCAGGCTTTTAAAAAAGTCAGTGTAATGATTTCATGTTTTAGTGTGTGTGTTTCTTTAAATGTTTAGTTTGGCTGCAGTACTAGAAGGAGAGTGATAGAGGGAGGCAAGTGTGATGTGATTGGCTGATGACTGAGAGTGTGGAAGGAGGGGTGTCTAGACGTGATTCTGCGTGTGAAGTTTGAAGAGAGAGCATAGTCCGTGTGACTATGAGAGATCTTGAGTCTATTCTGTGTGAAAAAGACAAACAGTTTTGTCTGTGTGAATCTGAGTTTTGAGTCTATTCTGTGTGAATAAGACAAAGAGTTCAGCCTGTGTGGCTATAATATGAGAGAGAGAGATTAGACTGAGTGTCTAAGCCTGTCAGAGTGGAGTTTTGGCGTTTGAGAGACTGTGACAGCAAGCTTTGCCAGTTATATTTACAAGTTCCTTTCATCAGCAACAGTTCAAAATAACCAGAAACCTATTTTGTTCTTTATTAAATAAATCATTTTTTGTTTAAACTTATCCCGGAGATTAGAATAGTCCTCTGAAGTGCCCAGAACCTAGGTCATTCTACCAAAAGAGAGAGATTTGGAATTTTTAGTTCCTGGTGGCAGCAGAAATCTACCACATTTATGTACACAGAGACTGTTTTAAAGGAGAAACAGTCTCCCCAATAAACAAGGACTCCACAGTCAGTAATTGGCATATCCTTATAGTATGAAACACTACAGTGATATGTCAATTACTGATTTTCTGAAGAGCCCACCGGTGGGATGGGTGTGTGTGTGTGGCAGCCACAGGAGACTGAAGCAAGGAAAATGGCACTGTTGTGGATGGAAGTTGCAAAAATGTATGCCTTCAATGCACTGTGCAAATGCACTTTTTACTGTGATTTTCCGCAAAAGGGTGTACTGAACCAGGTTTGGGAAAGATTGTGGCAAAGCAGGGGGAAACACAGAAGCAAGACAATGTCACATGGATGCTCCCGAAAAGAACGCTGCAGGGAGGAAGATAAAGGTGGAACAACACATACATGCAGTAGCAGTCTTATGCCGGAAGAGTGACATTCTTTAATTCAGATATTCCATATTCAGTGGTGTTGTGGCAAAGCCAAACTCAATATCTGATTTAAAAAGGTATCTTGTGTAGCTTACATATGCCTGAGAAAAATGGCTTGTGAAAATTCAAGATCTGGGTTTCTGCTGCCCCCCTATAATGACACGATTTTGGGAATCTTGGAAACAGAAAACAGAATGATTACTGTCCCTGCAATGAAACTGGATTACAGCAGTTGAGACCAAGAAAGACGATCATCCAAGGGAGTTTATGGAGAAATCTCAGTTTGTATTCTCAAGGGACCTAACCTGCCATGTTGCCAGTTATCTTTAGGTTAAGATGCTGAGCTGTAAACCGGAAGATCTGTAGTATGCCAGTTTGAGACCCCAGTGCCGCATGACAGAGTGAGCTCCTGTCTTTGGCCCCAGCTCCTGCCAACCTAGCAGTTCGAAAGCAAGAATTTGCAAGCAGATAAAAAGGTACCATTTCGGTGGGAAGGTAACAGCATTCTGTGCGCCTTGGTGTTTAGTCATACCGGCCACAGAAGCATCTTTGGACAGCACTGGCTCTTTGGCTTGGAAACAGAGATGAGCACCGCTCCCTAGAGTCGGATTCGACTGGCTTTTGAGCAAGGAAAACCTTTACTTATATCTTGCTATTAGGAATTTAAAACAAGGCATCTTTAAAATGTAGAACACAATATATACACATTTTATTTTTCATTTCTGTGCACAGAAGACTGTATTGCCATTACCCCTGTAAAACTGAAAATTGTTTACAACTTGCCTTTTCCCCTTCTAAAAATGAAATTTAGGTATTCCACTACACATTAGGGGTGTGCATTCAGCTAGATCCGAGCTGAGAAAATACCCAGAAAATACCTTTATCAATATTTTTGGGTACTGATTAGGCTGGATAGTGATTTTGGATATCTTTTGTATATCTGAAGTGGCCAAGCCCCCAAAATCTCAAAAATATTCCGGATTTTCAGGACTGCCAGATAGACAAACAAGGGCCTTTAAAGGGATCATGGTCCCTTTAAATGCCTTCTCCAAGTTGTGCAACTGCAGTTTGGAGAACTCCAAAGACACTTAAAGGGCTCGCAGTCCCTTTAAATGCCTTCCAGGTGAACTCACCTCGGCTGGGGCTGGCTCCCCATGCAGCAAAAGAGCCAGGCCAGGATCGGCCAGGGTGGCACGGAGTTGAGAGCTCTGTGCTGCTTCAACTGGAACTGGCTCTTCTTGCAGCTCAGTTTAAACCAAACTTCAAGAGGAACCAGCAGCCCCAGCCAAGGCGGAGCTCTCAGCTCCTGCCACCCCAGTTGATCCTCTCTTGCAGCTCCAAAGTCTCTTGCCACTCTGGGGCAGTGGGAGCTGCAAGAGGAGCCAGCACCAACTGAGGCAGCGTGGAGCTTTCAGCTCCCACTGCCCTGGCCGATCTTGGGCTGGCTCCTCTTTCAGCTCAATTCTCCATTATACCCTATGGGGACCAATGGTGCCCATAGGGTATAATGGAGCTGGAAAAATTCGGGTTTCCTGAATATTTCCTGACTCTGAATACCATAGCGGTATTGGGATTTGGGAATATTGGAAAATACCAATCCTTTTTGGGTTCAATATGCCCAAACCCAAAAAATACCGGGGTTTTTTGCACAATCCACTATACATATTGCAAAATCGGACACCTTAGAATGCCAAATTAGATTGTTATACCTACCAACTGAGTTCATTTCAGCTTCTTTGTTCATGGTATAGATTTAAAAACAGCAACACCTAAACAGTTTAAGGGTATTTACGATTCTGAAAAACACTGGATGGCTTTTATTATGTCTGCTTAAGGGCCTAAAAGTAGCAACCCCAAAACTCCTTTCAACCTGCAATTCGTTTACATGTTCAAGTGGTTAAGTTGGAGGATGAAGTGAGTTGAGAGGGAAAAAAAAAGTGACAAAATCAGGGGCTCCTGACTCACCTCTCCTGCAAACACTTAGCAAAGATGCTATAAGCCCCCCTGCAGCTGAAAGTTACCTGTGAATTATATGAGAAAGCAAACAAGATGATGGTGACTGAGCCCAATTCCGCACAATCACTTGCTCCGGTGTCAACCCCCGATAAATTGATCAGTTCCCCACATGTTGGTCTGAGTTAGGAATTGACCCGAATCTAAAGGCGTTTCCCCCCAGATTTTCCGTCTCTGCTATTTTCAGGTTCTTTTTTTTTTTTTGCTGTGGTATTGAAGTCGGGGCATTCCAGTGGGGAACTTGCGATTCGCGGCTGCCCCCTCTCCGCCCCTTTGCTTCTTTCCCTCCCCTTCCCTCCCATTCCTGCCTATCAACACCTCTTCAACGCCCTCCTGCATCTCTCTCCCCCTCCCCCTTCTACTTCCCGCCTGCTTGCAACCCCCTTCGGTGTTCGCAAGATTTTTTATTTCCCTCCCCGTGTTGCGTTGCAATGCAACAATGGGCCATCTTCGACCGGCATTTAAATGTCCTTTTACATGTCCGTATGCTGTTTTCTCATTTCTGTTTGGCAATTTACCATGTGTAAAGCTTTAAGCATTCTTTTTCATGTTTGTATACTGTCTTCCCATCTGCCCCCTCCCCCACTTCCCGGCTGCATCCCTCCCACCCCACTTCCTTGGTGTGCGCGTGCTTTTTTCCCTCCAGCGTTGCGTTGCAATGCAATAATAGCCCATAGTTTACTAGACGCAACAATGGGCCATCGTTGACCGGCGTTTAAATGTCCTTTTACACCCTACCACAAATGTTAAGTCTTTAAGGTGCTACTGAACTCTTGCTCTTTTCTACTGCTACAGACAGACTAACACGGCTACCCAGCTTTATTTATTTATGTTCTTCAGAGTCAGCCTTTTTGATTTGGACTCAAGGTGGATTACACAGAGCGAGCCAATACAATCAATGGATGGGACATTCAATAAACAATGCAGTAGCTCAGTTCCATAGTAAACCAGGAGGGCAGTTTACGCCCCAGGGATGGGAGCGGTCATAGAGGAAACTTCATGTTCCACACTCACACTGAAGCCTCAGCTGAGCATGTGTTTGGGATCCTAAAATCCCCCCAGGGTGTTCTGGAATCCAGTAGGATTCAAGAGCCTCTGTGGTTGGACCATTTTAATTGGGGCCCTCCTATGTGGGGTGTTGGAGCCACATTCACCTTGGCTTTAAATAGGTAGCACTCAGACCATGCTGCAGGTCAAATCTCCAATCCTGAATCCAGGCTATCCTTCAATTGCTCAGTGCAAACAAATTAAATCCACTGTGTGACCTCCTTCATGCACTGGGCACATCACAATCAAGATATCAACACACTGTGCTCGCATGTTGTTGTTTTTTTGCTAGCTCCCTTCTAAACAAGATATTCAATCAACAAAACACTGCCAGGCTGATAGAAAACACAAATACGTAAAATAAAAAAAAAAGCAAATGCTCTGCCAAGTGGATCACAGCTATAACTCTACTCCCAGCCCAACAGGGACATCCAAGAATTCCTCCTTCTACGGGGAGTGTTTTCCTTCGGTCATTAACTGGGTGGTGGGGAGCTGAACAAAAGGGGAGCCAATTCTGCCCCTTTCTTCTCCGTTTGTCACTTTAAGAGGTTCTCTACCAGCCTGACTCCAATAATGGAAGAATGCTGAAAACATCAAAGAACAGCAAGGTGGCAGGATTTAGTCCCCTCTACTTGTGAACACCATTACTTTTAAAGAATATGTCTCCATTCCTTTTTTTAACATGAACGGGTAGACCTGTGTATGAGTAAATTCAGATATTTCCACACACCACACACACATACACACCAGTCATGTCCTGTTTGACCATCAGCTATCTATCCCCTGACCAAATATTTAAACAGTGAGATCATAAAATAAATCAACATTATGGGCTGAGGCTACTGGTTAAATCATAGTTCACTTGTGTTTTGTTAGGCAAATCTAAACTGTTCAGTGCAGACAGAGGCAAGTATTCTGACAGTGGCAAAATTTACAGCTGTAAAGAAGTCCCTCCAAATCCAGGATATGTCAGACTAAGGGAGGGGGGGGGATACGACGGGGACGACAATGTCACAATAGCAAACACTCTGATGGTCCTGGTGCACAGAAGAGAAGGAACAGACAGCTTCATTAAAACCTGTATCGTGAAGAAATCTCTGTTCTTCAACATCTTATATAGCAACACATGCAGTATTTACTCCAATGCAAGACTAGATTATTTTTCCAAGTATGCCACCAGAAAGGGGCAGGCCCGTCTTACACTTGCATTCAAGTTACTGTTATACCCAGTAAAAGCTTTTTTAGGGTGTTGAATATTTTTTTGGGGGGGCGGTTTGTCTTATATTCCGGGTTCTCTTCCTTTCTAGTAAATTGGGTGGGAAGTGCCATATTTCAAACTGAGCAAAGGCTGAACTGCCAGCAATGTAGGCTCTCTCCTGCAAGACCTTGTTAGCCTCTTCTCCCACAGTGCAAAGGAATGAATGATTGCACGAGAGGCCTCTCTCAGTTGCTCATTCCCATTTGCCTGCACCTTAGCAAAGAAACCTGGCTGACTGTATGGGAAGTAAGGCGGTTCCAGTGCTCCTGACTATGCCCGCTTCCCTATTTTGCTCTTGCAGCTGCTGAAAACGGGGAGGCATTCACAGCAGCAATGGAGATGCTGCATGGGTGTTTTCCCATGCTTACCCCCTTGTGTCTGCCATTCCCCCAGGCTTCCACCAGGCTATTTGCCATTTTTAAAAAACATCAGTAAGAAATACTGTTATACTGTTAGGATACTACAGTGATATATTAATTACCACAAGGGGGACAGAGAGTCCACTGGTGTCATGGGGAATGGTGGGTGTGTGAGGAGAAATGCAGCCATTTATGGACTAGGACTAGTCTAGGAGGTGTGGAAATCCTCACCTTCACGTCCTGCACTTTCCCCCAACCTGTTTTGAGTACAATCTTGCAGGAAAGATCATATCAAAGTAGGATTGGGAATCTATGCAGCAAAGCCGGGGGAAAGCAAGAAGGTGGGCAGCGGTCAAATGTTATGAGGAAGCCCAATTTAAAACCACTGCCGGGGAAGGGTGTGTAGATGGAGCAACAGCTCCACTAGAAATAGCCTGTGTCTGTATTCAAAATGCATAAGGGTGGGAGGATTTGGGATGACCGGGGTCAGAGAGGGCTTGGATTGTGCCTTTCAAGTGACTAATCACTACACATTATATATTACATAAAGGTTTGGATTGCATTCTTCAACAACTGCAACAGGCAACGTAACCCTCCCGAAATGTAAGTAATAAGTTTCATTTCTGTTTTCCCTTCCGGGAATCACGTTACCTTCTTATTTTTTTATTAGTTTGGAGGCTGGTCAGCTTCACTTGCCAATTCCCATCTATTCCACAATCTAATATTTATGGCTGAACCATAAATACTCCTCAAAAGTATCAACCTTAAATCCATGGAGATCTGCAAAAAAAAAAGACGGCCCGTCAGTACTCACCTGATCCCTCATCTCAGCCTCCTGAATCTGGATTCCTTGCAATTGCTTCTCATAATTGGAGCACATGTCGCAGCGCCTGCCCAGCTTGTTCCCTGCATTTTGTACCTAGAGAACAAAAAAGCCATTACACGCCCAGGGAAGCTACAGAACTCTACAACGTAATGTGGCCGTAGCTATAGGGGGACAGAGGGTCAAACCACATTCGACCCAAGAGTTCTATAAATGGCGCTCTAGTAATTTCTTTCAAAATTCAATTACTGGCTACATGGAGGCTCAGCTTGGATGGGGGCAATTAAAGCCCGACCCCGACACTGTTTCCTCCCAACCTAGAACATCCCTTGGGAAACCACTATTTGCCTCATTAGCAAAATATACAGGTACTGATACAAGCACCTGCATGTCTGTCCCCAACTGGGCCGTTTGAGGATGCAAAAACTGTGTGTGTGTATGTTTTGGGGGAGGGGGACTAACACCACCATCTTGGCACCATGATCCCGATCTGAAGAGAGTCCCCCCACACACCTGATAACCATATTTTAAATGATGCTGAGAAACTCCCGGTACCTCCTCTGGCTAGGCCTTCAAGTTGAGAATTTAAGGTAGGGCAAAGTGGACCTGTGGGCGGACTTCCTGTGACAGTGAAGTGCTATTGTGAAAGTTTGTGGAATTGAATTCTTTGCTCCTGTATGTTTTATAATGCAAATCCACTGGATTTCAGTATGGTAAGTTCAGAGCAGGCCAGGAAAACCTTGCTTGTCCAGCAAAGGCAGGAGAGGAAGGCCGACAACGAACAGTATGAACCTCTCTGCTATGGAGAGATGCGAAAGAACAAGACTGAAACGATAAAGCATCAAGCTTTTAAAGTGGCACAAATATATCCCCTTCAGTGTTCCCTCTAAGCTGAGTTAGTGTGAGCTAGCTCCCAGTTTTTTAGCCTCTGGCTCACACATTTTTGTCTTAGCTTAGGAAGGATGGCTCCAGAGTAACCTAATTTATGCAGCAGCCAAATCGCTTGCTCACAACTTTGATGTCAGTTGCTCACAAAGTAGAATTTTTGCTCACAGGACTCCACAGCTTAGAGGGAACATTGATCCCCTTCTGGCAATTCCCACGACACCTCTCTCAGCAGCAGCAATTCTCAAGAGGGATGAAGGCAGGAGAGGCAAAGACTTACCTCTTTCTGAAGGAGATTCCATTCCGTTTCACTAACTAAGCGGTAACCACTAGGTGAGACGTAAGTACTTTCTACACTCTGCGTAATGCTGGAGAGAAGGGAAGCCGTCTCTTCCTGCTCCGGCGTCATTGCTTTGATTGCTTTTTCCTGGTCTTTGGTTAACATGAACCCGCTGGGCATTTGCAAAGAACCAAGGGAAGCCGTGTCAAAGTTCTCAGACATGGAGTCCGCTCCCACCAGAGGCCCAAAGTCAGATTCATCAAGGTTCCCAGCAGACTTGGCTTTGTTGTTGTAGCCTAGAGTTTTGGACTGCAAGGACCCCGACACCCCCAAGCTGTCCGTTGACTGTGCCCTTCGAAGCCCTTCTTTAAACAGGTCGTTGTCTGACTTGAGAGATTCTCCCGAGGACAGCAGCACATCTGTGTCGAGTGAGTGGACTGAGCCGTGGGTGCTATTTACATGCTCCTTCGATTTAAAAAAAAAGACAAAAATAGAAAGGCTCTTAGGCGATGTGTAAAGCCGTGGACATAGGACGTTCCTCTGGATACGGAGTCACACCAAAGTTTGCCCACCCCGTCGGCAGCTCTGATCCCTACTCTGCCATGAAAGCTCACTGGCTGACCTTAAGCGAGTCATTCTCTCTCTCTCTCAGCTTAACCTGCACCTCATTCTTCCATACTAGTCTAAACAATTGTTTTTCTCAGGGCAGCCATTTTGAAAACCAGGGACTAAACTTTGGGACTCCTACCTAGATCACATGAACAAGTTCTTTCTTCTTTTTTTTTTTACATACTCTGGCAGAATTAGGTTTGCACACTGGAAAGGGATGCCAATACAAGTTACTTTGAATCGCCTGTCTTCATAGGGTTGCCAAATCCCCCGGTTTGCCAGGGGTCCCCCATTTTGGGGGGGGGGGGTTGTCTACCCGCCGCAACACCCACAGTCACCCATCTCTCTCCCTTTAAGTGTGTGGAACCCGTGTTTCCTCCCAAGCCTGATCTCCGCAAGATTGCAGGGAAATGCCAGCTTCGTGCTCTTAAAAGGGAAACGCAGCTGCTCTTAAAGGGGAAACACCGGCTCCTGCAATTAAAAGAGAAACGCCAGCTCCTTTAAGTGCAGGGAACTGCCGTTTCTGGAGATCTGGCGCACGGGCAGGTGGGGGGGGTGTACGTCCCCAACGTGACGTCATCACGTCGGGGATTCCCCGCCCCCTCCAGGAACGCCCCCAAAGTCCCCCGCTGGGGGTGGAAGATGGACTTGGCAACCCTATGTCTTCATCTTCCCAGTACCAAGTCTCTGGCTTGCTTTCACTTTTGTAGGAAGAAGGGACACCACACATTGACTGAAGCGCCAGAAAAACTTCTTAAGGCTTACGCTCTGACCCTAAAGGCCCAGTTCTCTTACGTGGCTTGTTAAAGCATCATTCAGACATGGAGGGGCCAATTAGACTGGAGAGAGCCAGTTAGCAGAGAAACTCCTTAAAGGACCCACAACAAGTAAATCTTGTTACCCTGTGCAAAGACTGTACAGCTAACTCAAGTTAAAACAAGGACAATGTTTTTGCAACCAAACAATTATTTTCTGTTGTACACAAATTAAAGCCAAAAGCAATGAGGTAGGACAACACTGAAGACACACGCATCCAAAGCAAATCAGCCTTTTCATCATGAAGAGGAGAAAGAAGGAATCTGCGCTGTGCCAAGTGTAGCTGCTGAAGTGAAACAGATTCAGGGTTGTTTTTTTTAAGAGACAGACAAAAAAAAAAACCTGGCATAGCAAGAACATACCAAGCAATAAAGTTAGAACAATAACTATATTCAAGCCAAAGTTGTTCTTCCACTGCTTCTCCCCCTACCCAATTTACTTATTGGATCACATAGATGGTGGTATCTTATTGTGTGACTTTAAATTCCAAGCCAATCCCTACTGCTTTCTGAGATTAGATTCCCCCAATTAGCCAGACTTTCCACATGCAGAAGGAAAAAAAGCTATTTAAGCTTCAACAAAGGGGAAATTAGGCACAGTGGTGTTTGTTGGTTACGCTCCTTCTTGCTACACCTTCCAAGACAGGCTGAAGGGAAAAAGAGAGGGAACATGGTTTGGAACCATTTGCGGGTTTAAGGTCAGAGAGGAAACAGAAACCCAACAAAAATCAGGCATCTTGACCCCCAGCCAACACATTCAACCCCAAAGAATAAACTGGATTTATTGAGACATATTACGAAGATAAACTGACAGGGCCTACCCAGGGAATCTTGCTTGGCCCCCTTTTAGTTTTCAAGAAACTAATAAAAACCTTTGATCCAAATGGCATTTGCTGGTTTTACCATTCGACCCAGTTTAATTTTTTCATTTTTCTCTCTCACTGATATTTGCTGATTTTATAGCTTTCCTTTCTGCCATGTTAGCTGCTGTCCAGCCCTGGCTGCTGTCATTCTTTTAGATTCAAGTGCAGCGGCACCTTAGAGGGCAACCAGGTTTTGCAGGTTATCAGCAACTGAATATCAAAGCTACGTCTAGCTGTTCTACTGCAGGCCGACATGGCCGCCCTTTGAAACGTCAACTGGCCTTACTGTCAGCTGCTGTTCCACTTGCCGCTTTTCTCAAGTGCAATTGTCTGTTTTCTTGTTTTAAACTTAATCTGTTCCCATTTATTATCTTGCCAGTCCCTTTTTGAGTGACGTCTTTAACACTGCAGAAAGATGGGACACGAATTTTCTAAAATGAAATAAATTTCGCCCCCTGTTCTGTCCAAGGAACATAATTGTGCTACCTACGAGGTCTCGTTGGTAGAGCTGTACCTCCTTACTGTCTACACATCCTTGAGGACACCTAAAGTCTACTGTGACCTTTTAGCTAGAACTATAATCTCCAATAGGGCTGCGGTGGCTCAAGTGGTTAAGACGCTGAACTGCAGGCTGTGGAAGGTCGGTAGTTCAGCAGTTCGAGACCCGAGTGTGCCACATGGCGGAGTGAGCACCCATCTCTGGTCCCAGCTCCTGCCAACCTAGCAGTTCAAAAGCAAGAAACTGCAAGTAGATAAATAGGTACCACTTGGGTGGGAAGGTAACAGCGTTCTGTGTGCCTCGGCATCTAGTCATACTGGCCACATGACCATGGGAACATCTTTGGATAGCACTGTCTCTTTGGCTTGGAAATGGAGATGAGCGCTGCATCCCTAAAGTTGGATTCTACTGGCTTTCAAGCAAGGGAAACCTTTACCTTTACCTATATAATCTCCAACGTATGTTCAACTCTGTTATTAGACTGCAAAAGACAGATTTTTTTTACAAAAACCTCTGTTAGCAGAAGCCTAAGACCTCCAGCTTTTAGAAAACTTACATGGGTGTACCTGCCTTAAAGTCACGACTTTTTCAACGAATTGGTTTCACCGTAAACCAAGTATTTAAAAACAAGTACCCACATTAAAGATATTCTGGAACAAGTACAATTTTTTTTTTAAAGCCACGGTTTAGGACCATCAGCCCAGGAGGTTCTTGGGCATCTGGTTTGGGAAGAAGTGCTAGAAATGCAGTTCTTTTTAAGGGGTGAGAGAGGTTTTGCAGAGTCAGATGAACTGGAAGATGAAGTCAATAACTTAAAAAAGAAACCTGTGTAAGCATTCCTTCACAGTTTAGGAAACCAGGTCTCTCTTGTTCATATGCAACAACTGACACCTTTAGGTGGCACTTACTGAAGCTAATTATCTTCACAATTCAAATCTGTCTATAATCCAAATCTGTAATATGTCTGTTACCAGTCAGAAAGTGAGATTTTGATTTTTATACTGTTGAGGCTTTACAAAGTCTCTGGGTAACAGATGCCTCATGCTTTGTTGGTAACAAGGGGCAGGGGTGAGAGAAAGCCTCGGTAACATTAGGAATTCACTGCAAAACAATTGAAACATCTGTCTCCCATTATAGCCTGACTTGGAACAGTATTGTGAATATTAGTTCTTCACCAGAAATTGTTAGTCTGTTTCTAGGGGCACAGACATTTCTTCCCAGAATCTCAAGTGAAATCACCCCAGATCTCAAGCTCATATAAAACTTAGAGGTGTTTTCCACAAAGGGACAAGCTTATGTGATTTTCCCTATAGCTACTGCAGGTGCCGATACAGCAGAGCAGCAATACGGCTTCTACATGGCAGGTTTCCCTGCATTCTCCCTGCTCCAGCCCCCTGGCAACAGCCAAACTCCTTCCTTCGCACCACCAGGGCCTTTTCGGTTTTTTAAAACAACCCCAGCAATTGAATATCATTATAACGTTGTAATGCTCTGTGCATTAGGTTCTCTTAATTCTCAGCTTTCAATTTTTTTTAACGAAAATTAAGCCTCTGACTCTTTTTGTTACAGAAATATTAGGGGCAAAGAATATCTCCACAACTTAATAGGACAGAGACATCCTATTTTTAAAAAATAGATTCAGGTGGGTAGTTGTGCTGGTCTGAAGCAACAGGACCAAGTTTGAGTCCCGTGGCACCTTTAAGACCAAAAAAGTAATTCTGGGTATAAATCTTTGTGCACCTGCACACTTCTTCAGACAGTTAAAAAAATCTGGAATAAGGTGGCATTTTGGACCTCACCATATTGTAAGTTTATTGTCTGAATAAACTCCAGTGGCAAAACTAGCCTCTGATTATTTTGTTAGCAAAAACACTAATTGAAATCAAAGAATTCAATCATTGGTAATGTGCACTCCCACTGTGAGAAATGTGCTCTGAATACTTAGCCGTACCTCTTCACCAGGGAACTGTGGGAGAGATTCATCATGGGCTATGGAACACACGGTTTTCGATTCATCATTGGCACCTTTCTGTTTGTCTTCCTTCCTTTTATGAAGTCTTCGTTGCTCTTCATCTTCCTAGAAATGAGTCATACATAAATGAGTTTTCATGTTTTTGTGTCATAATTTCCAAATTAAACTTAATACGTATAGGCAACTTTTTTGGGGGGGGATTGCATTTTTGACATGGTAAAGTTATTTAGTGAAAAAGGTGGAAAAGATTAAAGAATTATGAACCTCAGGTGAAAAAAATTATGGACTGTAGTGGACTGCTGTGTGGGGTGTAAAATGAGACCCTCACTTTTGGGACTGAGGAACAACTGAGCTTTCCCCCTACTGTATTTTTAAATTTTAAATTTTATTTATATTAGTTATACTCCGTCTTTTTCACAGGGACTCAAGGTGGATTACACAAAGTCAATACAATCAACAAAATGGGACATTCAATAAGCAATACATTAGGGCTACGGAAGTCTAGAACCAACCAGAAATCTGAAAAGACAGGACTGAAGGATCATGTAAGTATTAACACGACACATCAAGTGGTACAAAAACTAGATACCAGGATCTTACTTTCAGTAATCAATACACAGCAGTATGGACAACAATCCCTAATAATTAATCCAAGTAATTTTGTGAGCCATTTGGCACAGTGCAACCCTATTACCTATGCAGAAAATAATTTTGTTTTGCACAGTTTGTAGAAACCCAGGAAGAGTGGAAACCTGCCTAACCTTCTTGAGCAAGCCACTCCATAAGGTGGAAACCACAAAGTCTTTTTCCAGTCTCATCTTCCCACACAACAGGCATGTGAAACAGGCAGGCGCAAAAGCTCAATTACTGCCATCTACCCTGGTGTGGGTACAGAATATAAATGTGAAGGAACATGTGCAATTGCTATTTCCCATGGACCTTTCCATCTCATACAGCCTGACTGGTTCTTCCTCCTTGCCCAGCATGGTTGCAATTGCCACATGCAAAAAAGGTAGAGATGGTTGTCAACCCATCACTAATTCAGCTCACTGCCCCAGGTGACTCAGGTGAGACCTGATTCAAACACTTAAGAAGCCCTGGGCATCTAGTTAGCTTATCTGTATCAGATCTTTTAACCCCTGGCCAGAGATACACCTCAGTAATGCTTTAGGTTTGTTCTGGGCATAGTATACAAATAGATACTGTTAGGGAATCTCTGCTTCCATTTTAAGCTTTTTATTAAAGCACAACTGTTGTATTAATATTAAGACTTTTGACTAAATCAACAAAGCTTTATACTATTTATTGTTGTTGCACAGAGCAATTAAACAAGCCCATAAAAGTTTGTTACCTCAAAACAAGCAGGTTACAAGCAAGGAGCCACTAACCTGATCTTTCTTCTTTAGTTCTTCAACTTGGCGGAGCTGTTCTGAAGTCAGCACTATTTCCATGCGTTGCATGTCCCTCATCAGCAAGCGCTGAGACTCTAAGAACTGGTCGTTGGCCTTTTGCCACGTGTGTTTCAGTTGGTTGTGCTGTTGCCTTTCTTGTTCTAGAAGATGACAGACTGCACAGAGAGCAAAACAGAATCCTAGTGGACTGGAACTTTAATGGTTACAATTCACCTTACTCTCTTCCCTCTTCTACATACAACACTATTTCCAGACAGTGGGGTTTGCGTTGGTTTGCCATTGTCCACCTGGATTCTCTGCCCCTCAGAAACTGTTTTTACAGATCCAGACAGGCAATTTGCATGGACAGGCCCCATGATAACCTGTGCAAAGCATGAAAGGTATGCTGCATATCACATATTCTTGTCCAAATTCAATTATTCACCTGCTTATTACCAGGGGTCTTGTTGTAGAAAAAGAGCTGCCGGAGCTCATTAGCATAACTCATTAGCATAACTTATTTGCATATGCCACGCCCCCTGACATCACCGGAAGTGACAGAAGGCCACACCCCCTGACATCACCGGAAGTGTGTCAGAAGGCCCGGCTACTTACCCTCCTGCTTCATCCTCATTCCCAAACGGAATGAGGATCGAAGCAGAGGGCGGGGTAAAGAAGGGGGCGGGGCTTCACCACGTGACCGCCCCGCCCCCTAGAGGTTCTCTTCCGGAGCTCCGTACCTGAGAGCTCCCCCCCGACTAGAGCCCTGCTTATTACTATCAACATAGATAGGCTTTGTGCAAGGGCATCAATGAAGAGGTGGAGCTTTGCCCCAAAGAGATTACAATTTATATTCTGGCAAAGAGGGAAGACAACAACAAATGAAGAATGGGGAAGATCACAGGGAAAGAACAGGCTCTAGCTCAACTGCACATACTTAAGCCTTCCAACAGGGGATAAGAATAAAGGACTTCAGAGAAGATGTGCATTTTGAGGAACAATTTGAAGCCGATATCACATAGGTATTCTGGGAGACAGCTCCAGGCATCATGTGGTAGCAACTAAGGCCATATGCTTTTATCGTCCTGTAATTCTGCAAACCAGAATATCCTACAATTGTTAGATGTATTTTAATCCCCACTTCCTCATTGAAAAGGAATTTTGCTTTTGACACTGGTTTCATAAATAATACTTTCGCTGCAGTTCAGCATATGGGTTAACAAAAAAGGTTTTAATCACATTTCAACAAAGCAATAATGCCAAAGGGTATTCTAACATAGTAAACTCGGGTATTCTAACATAGTAAACTCAATACGAATAATTAACTTAGCCATCAAATCACAAGGTCTCCATTTAATACTTTCCTGAGTTTCTGGGCCTGTACCATGACCTAAATGAACAACCCTTTAAACATGGACCAGAACACAAAAGACATATAAATATTCAATTCTGAGGTTCTAAAACACAAGGGAAGCAACTGCATATTTCTAGATAGTGATTCTTATGATGACGTTACTACCTCTTGTGATATAGGATATCATCATGCAGAAAGAAGGGGAAGCATTTGGGGAACCATAGGGGACATAAAGCTCAGTCCAAGGACGTGGCTGTCTATCCCTTATTTGGAAACCTCTGTGTATTGTTATTGCCATGCCAGTGTTTCTGGAACACAGACAAATCCTCACCTTCGTGAAGTTCCTTCCGTAATTTTTCTGCATCTTCCTGCAGAACAGACTTTTGAGTGTTCAAAACAGCCACGTACATTTCTAGATCAGTCCTACAGGATTTCTCAGCTTCCAAATAATGATTCAGTTCTTTAACCTGAAACATACACACATATGTAGAGCAAGACTGTAATTCATGCATGTGTTTTTGTTTTTCAGGTAGATGGCTTGCACACAGAGATGGAGGTTCACATCTGCTTAACAAACTCAAGAACATTTCTAAAAATGATGAACTCCGGTGATAGGTCTTAGCCAAGTTCTTCATTCGCAATTCATTGCAATTGTGGAATTATGGTACAGTACACAAACATTTCCAGGCAAATTTGACAGCGATGAATATGCTGCTATTGTTTCCTCTCAAAAGTTCAACAGCTTCAGTGCTAAAAGTCCATCATTAGCCATTTTGTATAAAGGTTAACAAGCCATTAGAACTGCATCAACACTGAAGCCAACACTATATATCTTCAAATGCTGAAAACTAACAACCCGCTGGAAGTGAATGTGCTTGCCAGCACTATCGATGCTGACATCCAGGAGCCAAAACACGCTAAGCAGATCTGGAGATTCTTCCCCTTTGCTGTTTACAACACTACAGAGAGAGAGCTGCACTATGCTAGCCATTTAAGAGCTACACAACCAAGCCCAATTTTTTTATGTGTCCACGTACACACACACGCAGGCATGTAGTTTGCATTTTGCCTTTCAAGTAAAACAGTGGTAAATAACTTTAGTGATGACAGCAATATGACCATTTAAGGAGGGAATATAGTACTGGAAGCCAGCTTACACGAGGCTGGTCTCTCACATCTGATTTAGAGGGCACAACATAGAAGAAGGAGGAGGATTTATACCCCGCCCTTCACTACCCAAAGGTGTCCCAGAGTGGCTTACAAACTCCTTTCCCTTCCCCTCCCCACAACAGACACCCTTGAGGTAGGTGGGGCTGAGAGAGCTCTGACAGAAACTGCTCTTTTTCAAGAACAGCCCTGACAGGACTATGGCTTACCCAAGGTCATCCAGCAGGTGCAAGTGGAGAAGTGGGGAATCAAACCCGGTTCTCCCAGATTAGAGTCAGTGCACTTAGCCACTACACCAAACTGGCTCTTAACAGAAGACCTGGTTCCAGTTTAAAATTATCCATACATTTTACTCTTTCTCCTGCTATGGCAGAGATGAATCACCTAATCAGACCCAGGAGCAAGTCTTCCATCTATGTAGAATTTATGTGTGAGGATTCTTTGATAACGACAAAGAAACGGGCTGAAAGTAAACGGCGACCCTGTCAGAATCTTTCACATGCTGCACTGTGTAACAGAACATGTTGTTGTTTGTTTCATTGGGTTGTTGTAAGAAGTAGACAATATTGCCTTTTGTAGTGCTTGTATTGATACAAATACCAAGGATTGTATGTAATATAAGTTCTATTGAGCACCATTACATTATTTATAAGTAAATTTAAAGAAGAGTTTATGCATATTAGGAGTTTTCAGACTACACATCAGCATATAAAGTTCTATCAATGTTTGCCACAGGTTTTGCCCAAAAGGATCTAGTAACAGCATCCCCCTGCCACCATTTCTTGCAAAAACATCCTACTATTTTCACACTGGAAAAAACCAGACATTTAATGGTTTTATTAAAACCTCCAGAAAAAGCATGGGGCCACACTTAGAATTCTTCTGCAAGGCAATATCAAGATGACTAAGGAAAAGATATGTTTATAAAATTGTGCATGGGGAGAAAAAAAGTGGAGAGGATTTTTCTCTCCTTCTTCCCATAACACTAACACTTGGAGGCACCCAGTGAAGTTGATGGGCAGCATCATACAACATAAAATTAATTTGTGGAACTTGCTGGCATGGAAGAAGAGTTGGCCTTTATACCCCTCTTTTCTCTACCCTAAGGAGTCTCAAAGTGGCTTACAACTGCCTTCCCTTCCTCTCCCCACAACAAACACCTTGTGAGGCAAATGGGGCTGAAAGAGTTCTGAGGGAACTGTGACTGGCCCAAGGTCACCCAGCAGGCTTCACGAGGAGTAAGGAATCAAACCCAGTTCTCTAGATCAGAGTCTGCTGCTGTTAACCACTACACCACACTAGCACAGATGGCTCTAATAAGATTTCCGTGGAGGACAGGTTCATCAATGGCTATTAGCTGTGATGACTAAACAGAACCTCCATATTCATAGGCAGAATATCTCTCAATACCATTTGTGTGTAGGGGGGTGTCTTGGCCTCCACGCCCAACTTTTATTTATTACTTGCCTTTACACAGAGAGTACTCCATCTTTCTGTGTTATACCTCTGAGGATGCCAATCACAGTTACTGGCGAAACGTCAGGTTCTACAATGCCAAGACCACGGCCACACAGCCCGTAAAATCTACAGCAACTAGTATTACTTGCTTCATTTATAGCCTGGCCTTTCTCTCCCATGGGGAACCCAAAGCAATTTATATTGTTCTCCTCTCCTTCCATTTTCTCTTCACAACAATCCTGTGAGTTAGGTTAGGTTAAGAGGCTGTGACTGGCCCAAGGTGGCTCAGAAAGCTTCCATGGCAGAGTGGCTGGAACCAGGGTCTCCCAGCCCCTAGTCTGACACTCTAACCCCTACAACCATGCTGACTCTCTTGCAGGTGGTCCAAAGGCATCATTCGGCTTGTCACTGGTGGAAACGAGATGCTAGATCAGGTGGACCCTTCATCAGATCCTGCTTCTCATTTTGTAATGGTCTGGGAGGCTATAATAAGTAGCACAAAGAGGTTTACAAGGACTCCATTTTCTATTGCAGGGTGCAAATGGCAGCATCACCTCTTCCCACTAGAGGTGTTCAAATTCTGAGGTGGATTTCTGAAACGATTCTCCAGGATGGGCTCTTCTCAAACATGAGCTTTTGCGAGCTCAAGCCCTCACTATTCCAGCAAGACGGAAACAGGGTAAGGTCTCCAAGAAACTGATGTGGATGAACCGAGAGCTTCAGAATAAGCTAAGGGAGAAAAAGGAAATGGGAGGGAAGGTCAGACCTCTAAAGAGGAGTATGTGAGAGTTACTAGGTACTGCAGATCAACCATCAGGGAGACCAAAGCTCAGTATGAGTTGGGTCTGGCCAGGGGGGGCTCGCTACAATAAGAAAAACTTCGACAGGTATGTGAGAAGCAAACGCAAGGTAAAAGAGGCAATTGGACCACTTTTGGGAGTAGAAGGAGAAACTCTGGTGGTGGACAGAGAAAAAGCGGACAGGCTTAATGACTTTTTTGCCTGTTTTCTCCCTGAAGAACTCGAGCCCATCTAGAGGTGGTCGAGGACATAACAGGACACCTGAGTGTTCAGTTGACATTGACAGGAAGGTTGTGGAGAGGCACCTGGCTGCACTGGACGAATACAAATCCCCTGGGCCAGATGGTGTGCACCCAAGAGTGCTCAAAGAACTGTCTAATAAACTTGCAGAGTCTCTGTCCATCATGTTAAAGGCCTCCTGGAGGACTGGGGAGGTGCCACAACATTGGAAAAGAATGAATGTTATTCCAATCTTTAAGAAAGGGAAGAAGGATGAGGCGGGAAACTACAGGCCGGTCAGTTGGACTTCTGTTGCTGGGAAGATACTAGAGCAGATTTTAAAGGGATCGATCTGTAAGCATCTGAAGGACCACTTAGTGATCCGGGGAAGTCAGCATGGTTTTGTCCCCAACAGATCTAGTCAGACCAACCTGGTTTCCTTCTTCGATCGTGTGACTAGATCGTGGGAACTCTATTGATGTGATTTACCTGGATTTCAGTAAAGCTTTTGATAAGGTTCCCCATGACATTCCGATGGGAAAACTGGAAGACTGTGGACTGGACTATAGGACAGTTCAGTGGATAGGGAACTGGTTAGAGGACCACGCCCAAAGAGTGGTGGTCAATGGCGTTCCATCAGATTGGAGGGAGGTGTCCAGCGGGGTGCCGCAGGGCTCTGTTTTGGGCCCAGTACTTTTCGATATTTTAATCAATGATCTGGATGAAGGAGTGGAAGGGCTACTCATTAAATTTGCTGATCATACCAAATTGGGAGGAGTAGCAACACCCAAGAAGATACAGTTAAAATTCAACAAGATCTGAATACTCTGGAGAAGTGGGCAGTTGCAAACAGGATGCAATTCAACAAAGAAAAATGCACAGTATTACAATTGGGCCACAAAAATGTAAAGCACAAATACTGGATGGGGGGATATGTTTCTAGGGAGTAGTGTACGCGAAAGAGATCTTGGGATAAGGGTGGACTGTAAACTAAATATGAGCAGTCAGTGTGATGCGGTAGCAAAAAAGGCAAATTTAGTCTTGGGTTGTATTAAAAGGGCCATAGCGTCAAACTCGCAGGAGGTCACAGCCCCTCTATATACTGCCTTGGCCAGGCCACACCTGGAGTACTGTGTGCAGTTCCAGAGGCCTCACTTCAAAAAGGATGTGTACAAAATCGAGAGGGTACAGAAGAGAGTGATGAGGATGATCAGGGGTCTGGAGACTGAGCCCTACGAGGAAAGGCTAAGGGCCCTGGGAATGTTTAGTATGGAGAAGAGGAGATTGAGGGGGGACATGATTGCTCTCTTTAAATATCTGAAAGGCTGTCCTTTGGAGGAGGGCAAGGAGCTGTTCCAGTTGGCAGCAGAGGATAGGACCCGAAGCAATGGGTTTAAATTACATGCAGAAAGGTATCGGCTGGATATTAGGAAAAACTTTTTCATGGTCAAGAGTGGTTCAAAGGTGGAATCAGCTGCCTAGGGAGGTGGTGAGCTCCCCTTCACTGACAGCTTTCAAGAAGAAGCTGGAGAAATATTTGTCAGAGATGCTTTAGGCTGGTCCTGCACTGGGCAGGGGGTTGGACTAGATGGTCTGTATGGCCCCTTCCAACTCTATGATTCTATGATGAAGGTGGGAGATGGGCTCGTGAACAACGCTCCCTCTAAGCTGTGGAGTCTTGTGAGCAAAAATTCTACTTTGTGAGCTACTGGCATTACAGTTGTGAGTGAGCGATTTGGCTACTGCATAAATTAGTTTGCTCTGGAGCCATCCTTCCTAGCGGAGACAAAAATGTGCGAGCCGGAGGCTAAAAAACTGTGAGCTAGCTCACACTAACTCAGCTTAGAGGGAACACTGCTCGTGAAGCAAGAGAGCTTGAAGAAAACAAAGCATGCCATGCCACTGCTTCTTAAAACCCGGCAGCTGCTAAGGATATGATTCATGCAAGTTCTTAAGTGGGCTCACAGGATTTTCAAGAAAAGGAAATTTGCCACATGCCAGGCAGCCTTGCCCAGCTACGTCGCATGCTCAGCATCGCCATGGTATCCTCTCTGCCAAAGCACTATGTGGCAAACTGGAGCCTTGCCAAACACACACAAGTAAGCAAGTGCCCTTTTGCATTATCTGCCCAGATCTCTTTGCTAGACAAGACTGTCCACAATCTTCCACTGACAAGTCAAGCAACAAACCATAAAACCATAAAAGCAGGGGGTAATACAATGCACCTGGAACAGCCTGACAGGAGAGATGATATCAGTTTCATCAGTGAGAGGCTCTGTGAAAAATATAGGCTCCTAACCACCCAATACACCATGCAGATGTTTTTAGATGCAAAAGCCAAAGTGATCCTGCATACCAGATGTTAACAAGCAGCAGTTAAAAACAACCCTCAAGACAGGATACAAGTTTTGTCCTCCACAGTTTCACTTTAAAGTGTTCTTTTTATTTTGTTCAACTGGGTAGGTTAGGCTGCCACCAGGAAATTTTAGGCTTTCCAAACCTTTATACTTTCTTTGGTTATCACTGGATAGGTAGGTCGAGTTTTTAAGTCTCATGAGGGTCTATGTGTTTCCTGAGAAATTATTTCTTTCAGAGCTGGCAGACTTAAATAAAAGAAGATTTATTGAAACAGTTCATAGATTAAAGTGTAGAACAATGTAACCAGTAATGTGAATAATTTTAACAATTTCGTTGTGTCTCACACAAGATCTGCTCCCTTTCTGACAGGGATTTTTCAAGTAACTTTGTAACTCATTACTCAGGGTCATATAAGTTTCCTATTTCACTCCAGTCTGTCACTCAGACTTTCGTTTAACTTTTGGTTCCTTATACATTCAACTTTTCTTCATACACAGAACTTAACTCTTGTATCACACACAAGACTGTCTCTCTCCCTCAGACCTCAGAATGAACTAACTTAACAACTGTCTTTATCAACTATCAAACCTCTAACTGTCCCTCCTGAAGGACATATCCATTCATCCACTCAGAAACCCTTTCTAACACCCCTCCCCCCTCTGTCAATCACCAATCACACCACACTTGTCTCTTCAAGCACTCTAGTCCATCACACAGCCATGCAACCAAACTTTTAAAGACACACACACACATATAACACAAGGAATCATTACAAAGCTGAAGTCCGATGATCAGCCACTGGCATGAAGTTGGATGCAGAAGACAAAGGGGCAAAGAGAAGTCTTGCTGCCCCAAAGTGAGCAACTGGATTTGCTGCATCTAGAATGCCTTGGCTTGGACGGAAACTGCTAGCGAGCCAAAATGTAGTTGCTGGGGCAGGGAAATTTGGTGGCAGGTTTTGCTTTGCACTCAGGGTCTAATAGGCTCAGTTTTGTCAGAAGGCAAAAAACTCCAACATGCGTTTGGTTGCCAATTTTTGTTGCCAACCTTTCCACCAACTGGGCTTCAGATCAAAACAAGCATCTATTTGGTACCGGGCACCCTTCTTCTGTGCGCTCTTTTTCACAGGGGCACATTATAAACATATGGCTGTGACCATAGTCTTGCTGCTGCTGCTTAATCTGGGTGCCCCAGAATGTACAAAACCATTTTCTGTGCTTCCAATACCTCTCTCCCTGCTCTCCTGGCCGTGGCTGCTGCACAACCAACCACTTGGTAGGGTTTGGGTTTTTTAAAGTTTTTCCGTTTAAAAACATATCAGTTACATTTTACATAGAATTAGCATATAGCAAAAAAAGGGGGGAAAGAAGTTTTGATGCCATGCCCCTCAACAAAAAAAATCACAACTATTCATGAATAGCATCCGATATGACCGACATTTTGTTGTTAAGTGACCTTTCTGCTACCTGGAACTCAGACTCTCCTTTCTGTTCATATTTGCAGAGTCCAGGGAGGATCAAGCTGGTGGCTGGCCTAGTCCCCCTGTACAAAACCTTAAAGCTTGCAGCACTTAAAACACGTATATACACCCAAATAGTTCTGAGAATATAAGGGATGGCCAAATACGGACTTTTAAGTCAATACTGTAATCTTTAAAAGTCTACCCCTTCAGGGATCCCCTTTCAACAATGAACCCACCAGCCAAGGAAATCCCTGCACATCTGATGCATAACTCCAGGCTCAATGCAAAAGACTCAGCAGATGAGGATAGCTGTCTAGGGTGCATACAGCTCACCAAGGGTACCAGCCTGGATACTGAAGAAGTGAGCAGAGACTCACAAGAGCTCCTGCCTCTAATTTTGTTAGTCTTTCAGGTGCTATTGGACTCTTGCTCTTTTCTACTGCTACAGACAGACTAACACAGCTACCCGTCTTGATCTCTTTTGGCTTGGATACTGTTAAAAAGGTAAAGGTTCCCTTGCTCGAAAGCCAGTCGAATCCGACTCTAGGGTTGCGGTGCTCATCTCCGTTTCAAAGCCGAAGAGCCAGCGCTGTTCGAAGACGTTTCCGTGGTCATGTGGCCGGCATGACTAAACACCAAGGCGCACGGAACGCTGTTACCTTCCCACCGAAGTGGTACCTATTTATCTACTTGTAATTTCTTGCTTTCGAACTGCTAGGTTGGCAGGAGCTGGAACTAGAGACGGGAGCTCACTCCATTATGTGGCACCTGGGTCTCGAATTACTGAACTACTGACCTTCCACAGCCTGCAGTTCAGCGTCTTAACCACTTGAGCCACCACAGCTCCTGTTACTGTTACTGGATACTGTTACCTCCATATAAACTGAAAAGGCCACATCTTTCTGCAACTGCATGGTGCAGAGGCAGACAGCTTTCTTCTAAGTGACACCCTTCTCATTGCAGAACAGATCAACACTCTAGCACAACCCAGAGAGAAGAAACGAGTAACAGCACAGCAAGATAACAATGCAACAGAAAGTGGATCTGTTAACAGAAAGGTGAAGAATGACGATGACTTTGGGAGGGACAAGATGTCCTCCTTTCCTCAGAGGAGAAGGACCCTTCATGGTAAGTATCCAATGGTCCATTCTCCCTCTGAGGCGGAGGACATCTTGGTGGGACCTCCCAAAGCAGTATCAGTTGTTTTCAGAGCTTGGCCTGAGGGTCTCTATGGAAGGAATCATCATTCATATCCAGAACACAGATTCAGGTGGGGTAGCCCTGTTGGTCTGAAGCAGCAGAACAAAGATTGAGTCCAGTGGCACCTTGAAGACCAACAAAGTTTTATCCTGGGTATGCACATGAAAGCTTATACCCAGAATAAAACTTTGCTGGTCTTAAAGGTGCCACTGGACTAAAACTTTATCCAGAACATAGTTTGACAAATTGGTGCAACAACTGACAAGGTGACCTGTTCTGTTTTAAGAGCGTTCAGTTGACAATTCAGAGGAAGGTAAAAAAAAAAAAAAGTACCTCTGGAAAGTACCAACCTCTCCCTTCCTGAAGGGTAAAGCAGCTGCCAGATTTGTAAAGCTTCTTTTTGTTGCTTTAAAAACCAAAGGGAATTTCACCAGTCAGCTTGAAAGCCTGCTACTTAATATTTCTCCCATACATTTTCTTATGCTTAAGTTTGGTAAGTGTGTCATTGATTGAATTCATGCTTCACAGACATAATATGAAGGATACTCAAGAACATCACAGAACAAATCCAAACTCTCTTTGCAAGATCAGCTGACTTCCAGGAAGAAGACAGATGGCCCTGATAAACTATGATGCACATCCTTACTAGGAACAGTCTTAAAATTCACCGCTGCCCACCTTGAAGGCCTCCAGCTCCTTTATCCTTTCTTCCGCCTCTGTCAGTTTCTCCTTTAAAGTTGCAATCTCCTTCTCCATGGGCATCACGACCGAACGAAGCTTCTCGGCATCTTCTTGAGCCTGAAGTCAACAACATGAAATGATGCAATAAATCAACACTTCTCTGAGCTTTAGCACCATCTCGTCCTGAAATGCAACAGGTAACCAACCTCAAACCAGTTAGCTACAGATTACTGGATTATTGTCAAAAGGCTAGATAAAGATGTAGCCCACAGCACAAGTTTGCTCCATCAGCTCTGGCAACCTGTTTTCAGCATCATATCATTAAGATGGTAAAAATAATCAACCACCGGCACCTTCCAGCACATATTGGTTGAATGACTGAAAACAAACTGAGGCTACCACCCACAGATAAGACAGATATTTGTGCATGTTTGACAGTCCCCTCGGGAAAATACTTTGTCAAGTTAAAGTAGTTTTAAAAACCTCAAACATGGCTTAAGGAAGACTGAGCATACTCGCTGCCCTTGAATGTAGAGGGCAGTTACATGGCAATTAAGGAAAACACTGAAAACAGACGGGAGAGGGAAAAGTGGGTGTAACAGTATCCTGAAAGAGGAGATTCGGGGGAAATTGTTCAACTTATGGGTCCCAGCTTAGAGCAATATCCATACCTCCTGGGAGGGGAGGTACCCAAAAACCTAGAAAAGTTTAATTTATCACCCTACTCTACCTCACTGTGAAGACATCACTGTAGCTGTATGCAGGCTCTGCTATTCATGTGCCTGGATATACTTTATTACAGGATCTTTGTACACCATATTGTATTTTCTTCAAAGATGGGAAGGAAACCAATTTTTATAATGCTTTAATGCCAAAAATTGATGGAGCAGCTAGACAAGACAGAGGAGATTTATGACCATTTCCTGATGTACTTTTTTAAGAGTAAAAAGCAGCTGCAGGGGACCTCCAATTTAGATTGTGGTGCAAGGGCTGGGTAACAGTTTGCCATTTCTCCAATAGCTGCTAGGGGAAGGGAGAGAGTTGCTATTATCCATAACGGGAGGGGGAAATGAGGCATCCATACTGTACCCATATTTCCCCTGACTAGGGCTAACGGAAAGAGAGGCATTCACACCCCCTCTAGTAATGCACTGAAAACAAGAGACATTCCCATTCAGTAAACTGATAAATTCAAGAACATGCAAACATCTTTATATTATCTCTTTCCAGTTACTTTTTACAACCGAGTCAGCCATTGTCTACCAATATTTGTGATGCGCCAAGAACATAAATGCAAACAGTAGCCTGAACTGCACTGTTGCAAAAAAAAAAAAGAAAAGAAAGAAAATGTTTTTGAAGTGAAATGTTATGGCCTTTTAAGCAGATGACATATTCTGGGAAACTGCTTCCAGCTTTCTAAATGCCTTAAATCGATACCATCATTTTTATCTAGAGAGAAGCCTAAACAACAAGCCTCTCACCACATCAAAAAGCAAAACAAAAAAAACCCCTTAAATGTGCTTGACTACAGCCGCACTTAGTGTAAAATTAGAACAATGGCTTAAGTGTAACAGATTCCAAAAGCAAGTATTTTATGTCACCTGCACCCCAGGACTAAAAATATATCACTATTAAACCACATACAGTGTTTGTATAATCAGCTTACATAAAATTTTTATACATACCTCAACGAAATGATTCTATCAACTACAAAGCACTCATTCTCAGGTTGCATTGATAAGGATATGTAAGGCATACAACATTAGACGCAGAAAAAGGAAATCTGGATGTCAGGTCAGCTGAAAAATCTATAACCTTCCCCTAATTAACAAGGGATACTGCCTATTGGTAAGTCCTCCAGCACAAAAGCTCACTGAAATCAACAAGAGCTATCATACTCTTTTACAGACCCTGTTCATTTTGATGATCCAATGCTCCCTCTAAGCTGTGGAGTCTAGTGAGCAAAAATTCTACTTTGTAAGCTATTGGCATTAAAGTTGTGAGCAAGCGATTTAGCTACTGCATAAATTAGTTGACTCTGGAGCCATCCTTCCTGAGCTAAGACAAAAATGTGTGAGCCGGAGGCTAAAAAACTGTGAGCTAGCTCACACTAACACAGCATAGAGGGAACAAGTTCTGCAGGAGAATCAGTCAGCTGATTGAGTCCAGTAGCACATTAAAGATCAACACAACCTTCCGGGACATAAACTTTCGTGACTCAAAGCTGACTTGGTCAGATACTGGGTTTCTGAAAAATGATTTGTGAAAGCTGAACACCCTGAAAAAATTTGCTGGTCTTTAAGTTCCCACGGGACTCAATTTTGGACCACTTTTACAGACTAACATGGCTGCACACATGAAACTTTCTCAGTGGACTGTGCCTCATGGATCACATTTGTCTGCATCCCTCATCACAATCCTTAAAATCACCCAAACATACCACCAAAATGAGGGGGGAGCTCCTCGTATTGCCTCAGGGTAGAGCTGCCTCTGATCCACAGAGACATCTAGAGTTACTTGTTGATGGGTAAACACATCTTCCTGACAAAGGTTGGCTCAGGCTAGCTCAATCTTGTCAGATCTTGGAAGCTAAGCAGGGTCGGCCCTGGTTAGTATCTAGATAGGAAACCACCAAGGAAAGCCGGGGTTGTTACACAGGTGCAGGCAACGGAAAACCACCTTTGAACTTCTCTTGCCTTGAAAACCCTACAGCAGGGGTGTCAAACATGTGGCCCGCGGGCCGGACCAGGCCCTCGGAGGGCCCCAATTGGAGGGCCGCAAGGACTTGGCTGTTTCCTGCTTCATTTTCCAGTTCTGCTGCTGCCACGTCACAGCTTGCTTTATCAGTCTCTCTCAGTCACACAGGAGAGACAGATAGGCAAGCCTCTCCTGTGTGATTAAGAGAGTCTGGTAAAGAACTGGCTGAGGCTTTTCCCCCTCCTCCCCCCCCTGGGGGGGGGGAACAGCCAGAGCTTGCTTCCTGGCCAGGCTGCAGGAGACAAAGGGAAGCCTTTGTTTCCTTCAACTGGCTGAAGCGCCTCCCTGAAGGGAGGGAGGGAGAACTTGCTTTGCTGGGCTCCCTCAATTGCACGGGAGAAATACCAGGCACCTTTAAGACCAACGAAGTTTTGTTCATGGTATGAACTTTTGTGTGCCTTGCTACAGTGTGTGTGTGTTTTGTTGGATTCTTTATGCCAGGGCTCTCCTGGGTGCAACTCAGTTCCCTCCCCCTTTTAACTGTATTCATGCCCTCATGATCCAGTCTTTCTCAGTAAGAAAGCAGAGGAGGTATAACAACAACAAGCCAGTGAAGTGGATTAGGCTGAGAGTGTGTGTGTCCAGACCAAGTTCACCCAGCACATTTCCTTTGTAGAAAGTTGTAGTTATTTCTCTGGGGAAGACGTTTTGTAGACAAACACATAGCCCTCAGTCTGTGTCAGGATGCCTTCTCATGTTCTTAACCACCACATGAAGCAGCTTATGTACAAAAGCTCGCAATGCCCAGCCATTTCATTTCCCCCCCTGAGTCCTAGGGTCCTAGGCTTAGAACACTGAGCATGAGATTTCTGTAATGACTGTCAATAAATCAAAAGTAGGGTTTGCAGCTTACAGATACACACCTGAACAGCATACTCAAGATTGCTGCAGCACAGACATTTTGATGCAATAATTCAGAGCAAGAGGAATCAGTTATCAGAGACCGTTAAATAGACAACATATTGCAAGAGTGCTACTGGTTTAAGCATGTTTAAAGTTTAAAAAATCTTTAATTGTGTTTGTCTGTGTCCTTTATAAAGTTATATCTCTGCTACCTGGTATTACATTTTATGACACACATGGCCCAGCCCAACAAGGTCTCATTTATGTCAGTTCCGGCCCTCATAACAAATGAGTTTGACACCCCTGCCCTATAGGGTCGCCATAAGTCAGCTGCAACTTGATGGCACTTTCCACCACCGACAACCAGACCTTCCACATTTCTGGTGTGAAGTAAGAAGGCTTTGTTTCCAGCTAGTGCCATCATACAATCTACCAAAGGTTTAAAAAAACTGCCACTTGGGGGGCCAGGCTGATGGCCTAGTTAGCTGGTCTTACAAACTTCCAAGGAGAGTGAATCTCTCTCATGTTGTCAAAAAGGTATATGGCCTCTGAACACAGAAGTTACATGTGCATGGCTCTCATGCCTAGCAGCCACAGATAGGGCTACTTTACAAGTAAGCATTTACAGATAAGAAACAGCAAGTACTGGAGCATGTTTGCTGCAATCAGAAGCTTTCAGGTTCAACTCCTGGCACTTCCTATTAAAGGACCTCAGGTGGCATATGTTGGAAAAAGAAGGAATAAATGACACCACAGAATAAGAAAGCAAACAAAATGGACCATCTACTTTTCATTTAGAGTGGATCATCTACTTTTAGTTTAGAGAGGCTTATCAAAGGATGTGGTTAGCATTCCGCCCCTCAGTTAAAGGAGGTGCCCGCTTTGAAGGGCGGTATTTTGTAATCGACACAGAAAACAAGTAGGAGACACAAGCTCATCTAATTAGAAGTGAGCCCTTTTCTGTCTTGAAACTTGAATCTGTAAGCTCATGAAAGGCTGCTTTGCACATATCAAGGATTCTTTACATCACTTTGATCACTTGTGAAAATGCAAAGGCCTTGCATGTTGGTGGCACAGTTCCCACATGTGTGTACTTTCCTCCATCTTTTTCCTGCATTGGCTCTTGAGTCATGGTAGTCATAGCTGTGATGGCGACTTTACCACCTCTTTTTTGTCCTTTTGTTCATGTGTGCACTACAGAAGTATGGATTATTCTATTAAAACGTTAAATAGAGGCAATAGATCACTACAGTTCTTCAGCAATTACTGATCTTTTTAAAAAAAACTCAAAAAACCTTCCAATGGCATGGTGTGTGTGGGGGAAATAGTGGGAAGATGGCACCAACAAAAAGTTGAAGAAGAAGAGAAGGTTTTTATACCCTGCTTTTCTCTACCTTAAGGAGTCTCAAAGCAGCTTACAATTGCCTTCCCTTCCTCTCCCCACAAAAGGCACCTTGTGAGGTAAGGTGGGGCTGAGAGAGTTCTGAGAGATCTGTGACTGGCCCAAAGTAACCCAGCAGGTGGGACCTCTCCAGGGTAGGAAAACGTACAGCATTCATTCTAGATTGTGTGGTAATGCATATGGATGCATTCTTTCCGAAACGGTAGAAGTGACAATCACAGCATGATGCCATGTGAAAAGTCCGTCCCCCTGTCCCCCCCCCCAAAAAAAATTAGTCTAGTTTGGAATCCAAGGCAGACGGGGGGAAACTTGAGTGTGGAAGCAGCTAAAGAGAGGGCAGACACCTGCTCAAGCCATTTTTAAAAACCCTTCTCATTAGGAAGAACTGAGTGACACATTAGTGCTGTATATTTTCCTCGTAACAAAGCCCAGAAGATGGATGCAGACAGGCAAAGCCCCATCGAAAGCCTGCTCCTGGATAAATTCAGAGATCTACCTCTCCCTTACCACACATTTCAAGGAACAAAATGTTTTCCATGAGTGGGAGGTTGGATTTTGTGTCTACTTGCTTGTTTAGGTTCTCAGATTTTTTTAGGTTTTTTTAGTTCAGTGTTATAAAATTCTGTTTTTAATCTTTGCTGCTTTCTTCAACATTCACATCTCTTTCTCATGGGATCATCTGTGATCGGACCATTGGATACTTACCGTGAAGGGTCCTTCTCCTCTGAGGAAAGGAGGACATGGTGGGGTGATTCACACCATCCACTCAGGGAGGCAGGAATCACTTTTTTCCCCTTCTTGTCTCTGCTGTGGGAGTCACCCACCCTTCAGTTCTGGCAACTCTGAAAGCAGTTAAGCTACTCTATACTCCACAATTGGATAAAACAGGTAATGTATAACATTAACATAAGACAAGTAAGAACAGTTAAGTGTAGAACAGTCAAGATTGACTGACTGATTGACGATTACTTGGGAGGGACAAGATGTCCTCCTTTTCTCAAAGTAAGTATCCAGTGGTCCGTTTTCCCTCTGAGTCGGAGGACATCTTGGTGTGACCTCCCACAGCAGTGTCCTCATATCCTGGGTGGGTCATCATCTTCAGAGTCTAGAATATGCTGAAGCGCTCTTCTGTCAAAGGCAGCATTGGCCAAATGGTAGGTGCTTATCTTATAGTGCCTTATAAATGTCGATATGGATAACCACATTGCCGCCTTGCACACTTCTTCCACTGTGGCGTGTCTAGCAAATCCTGTGTTGGTTGCTGCGCTCCTCACTTGAATGAGCTGTGATTGCATGTGGCACATCTAGCTTGTGGAGCTTGTATACAAGCCTTGTTGATGGCAGACTTAGACATTTTATTCCCCATGTTCAAAAGCGAAACAGAAATACAGGGCATCTGTTTTCCTGATGTATTTTGATCTGCATATGAACGCCTTCAGGGCTCTCCTGACATCAAGTGTGTGCCATTTCTTTTCCCTCGGGTGACTGGGGTTCAGACAGAAAGATGGAAGATTGATTTCTTGAGAGCTACGGAAGGTTCAGGGACCTCAACATTTTCTTCTTCCTTGTCAGAGAAGAATTCTCCCTCCTTCCTGCAATCTATGTCGCTCTCTGAAGAATGACTGGGTCCCTGTAGTGGAGTATCTCTCCCTCTTTTCCTGTTGGTTGAATCCTTCTGTGTTGCTTTAGTTGGCCATTTAAAGCCTTCTTTAATCAATGGGGCTCCTCCTGAGCTCCTGTGCCTGGTGGGGGGAGGAGGGAGGGCTGGATAAAGCCTTGTCTGATCTAAGGCTTCCCTGATAGCAGATATTCTCAACCTCTTCCCTCATGGTCTATTGAATTGGTGAGAATAACTCTGGAGGGAAATTAAAAGGCCCATGGGTGAGTATGTTGCCCTTCTGTTGGCCCCCCACGATCGTTTGCCAGCTCTGTGGAGACTTGAATTGGAGATTCCTGATCGTTCTTGCTGGTTCCCACACCCAACTGGCTTCTGGAGGCAATGGGATCGTCTTCACAGTCTCCTTTGGCGTGATCAAAATGGCCACCGCTCATAACCAGCAGATTTGAGTGGGCCGAGTACTCAGGAGCTGTTTTCTGAAGGCAGTGCTTTTTCGGCTCCTGTTCGGGCGTCTGATCCATCGCAGCCAAGGCAGCCCTGTTAGGATCAGTGCCTGCCAGATCCAAGGACTCTCCTACTTCTCCCATGAGCAGAGCCTCCAACTCTGCTCCAGAGAGGAAGCCGTTGCTATCCTCCCAATGATTCATAGCTTCAGTGGCGAAAAGACGCACTATGCAAGCCGACGATTCAAACTGGTTTGCCGCTCCTTTAAGGAGCTGTCTTTACTGAAGTAAGGAGTCAAGTAAGGAAAGGAGAGCCAGTAGGAAGTAAAATCCAGTAAAAGCAATGGAAAAAATTAAGAGTTAATCAGAGAAGTGAAATAGAAAGTAGAAGTAGGACAGCCTGCTCTCTAACTGCTCTCCCTGATTAGAGATGTGAAGGCCCGGGAAAAAACCGGAAAAATTCGGGGGAAAAACAGGTTTTTTCCGGTTTTTTCCTGAAGCCTTTTTGTTTTTTTCTGAAAAATTGAAAAAATAAAAGAAAAGAAAAAAATTGATTATGGAACGTTTTATTTTAACGTGATGAATAAAATATTTTAAGACAAGGTGTTCAAATATTTTCCAAATCATTTTTTAAAAATATATATATGGTATCAGATTGATCTAATTTCTGTGCACTGAGGACAAGCAAGTCCTAGGTTACAAACTGAACTCTCCAATGCAAGAACAAGATGCATTTCTTTCTTTAGGAGGTGCGACTGTCAGAAGAAAATAAAAAAGTTTCAGTTTTGTTTTTGCATGTGGGTGGGTATTCTGTTTGTAATAATTGTTTGGATACACTATATTTTTAATATGCTAGTTGTGATAATTTCATGCCAAGTAAAAATGTCCATAGTCATATTTTATGTTCCTAAAGTAACAGAATGACTTTCAATCTAGAAAAGACAAAAGAAATGCTAATGTAGCATTTTTTCAATTTTTCCGAAAATTTCCATTTTTTTCTGAAAAAAATGGGGGGGAAACGGGGTTTTTTCTGAGCTTCAAAATTTCCGGAAATTTTACATCTCTATCCCTGATGGGTCAGGAAAAGATCTGAAAGGCGGGTGACTCCCACAGCAGAGACAGGAAGGAGGAAAAAGTTGTTCCGGCCTCCCTGAGTGGATGGTGGAAATCACCCACCAAGATGTCCTCCACCTCAGAGGAAGTCTCAGCTCTCGTCCACCCAGCGGTTCGAAAGCATCATAAATGCAAGTAGATAAAGTGGGTACCTGCCCTAGGTGGCAGGGGGCACCCCTCCTCCTTGTGAGGTAAAGGGCTCGGCAGCGGCGGCGGCAACGATGGCGGCGGAGCAGTTCCTGGCGACCCGGTGGAGCAACATCGGAGGCGGAGCCCGGAGAAAGTGGAGCCTTGGATAGCGTGGTGACGTGCGGTGCAGCGCGGCAGAGCCACCTGTGGACAGTAGCCAGAACTGCAGCCAACACAGAGCCACGCGCCAAGATGAGACCTGCCGGAAGAAGCTGCTCGGGGAAGATCGGCTCCAGAAAGGGCACCAGGATGCCAATATCTGAAGCCGCGGAAGGAAGCCGGATGACAACTAGCCCGGGGTGCTGGTAGGCAGTCACCACCCTGTAGAGGTATAAATAAACAAACAAACAAACAAATTTTGTAGTATTATAAATGCTGTCACCAGCTTTGAGGACTCCAGTAAAAAAAACAACTGAATACAAACCCCTTTTTTTAAATTTAGAATATATTTCGGGCCTACCTTCTTCATTTCATTTTCAAGATTTTCCTCTTCCTGACCTTCTGAAAGCCGTCTCCTCAGCTCCACTATTTCTCTTTCCATGTTCTCCCGGTACTGGTTCCACTGAGCTCGCTCTTTCTCCAGCCTGTGATGAAACTGGCGTTCATAGTCACGGACAGTTTCTGTTTAATTACAATGATAAATAAGTTGCAAATCACTCTTTCATCCCCCAGCCACTTCAGTAGGCAACAAGCTCATTAAAAAGCTACCAGGTGTCTCGGGTTGAGGTCTTAGGGACACAGCAGAGGAGATGTAAAAGAACCACGATTAGGAATTCCTGGGTTTTGCTCTGTTTTTGTTTTGTTTTCGAAAAGCTTATTAATAGCCCCAAGTGGTTGTTTTGAAGATTGGAGAAAGGTCACTAGGAGAGAGGATTACATCTTGTCTATTCCCACAACTCTTTTGTAATTTAAAACATTACTTTGAAACTTCACTTATCCTTGTAAGGAGAGGAAGGGCACGTACAAGCTCTGTGCCAGGAGTTCCTTCCGTGTTTCAGCTTATTTGGCCCTAAAACACACTTAGGTGAACCAGAAACTCTGGGAATCAGTGGAACAAGATTCCAAGCAGGGATGCCAGACTTCACGTGGAATCCAGGGATCTCCTAGAATTACAGCTCATCTCCATTTTCTCCTGGAGGAAATGGATGCTTTGGAGGGTGGATGTGGCATTGTACCCCACTGAGGCCCCTGTCCTCCCCCAGGCTCCACCCCCAGATCGTCAGGAGTTTCCCAGTCTGGATCTGGCAATCCTACCCCTCACCCACACCCATCCTGCCCGTGTCCAAGGCGGACCTGGCAACCCTATTCCCAAGTCAATGTGCAGGATTCAAGTTATCCAGCTATGCTATGGTAAGTTTAACCCACAACTGTTCCCCTAGCTTGAGGCAGTATAGCTAAACAAATAATGAATTATCAAAGCAAGATGTTAGTTTAAAACAGCTCCATGCCAACAAATGTACCATAATGGCCACTGCTGTGTGACATAAGTAAAAACCTCTGAAGAATGTTTTATATATACTGTACTCTGATTTCTTCAAAATGCTTAAGGCCAAAATGTCTACACATCTGTCACTTATGCAACTAAGGCTGTCGTGTGATTAAAGAAATATTAGTCAATTAACTGAATCGATTTTAACTGATTCTATTAAGCAGCAGCTGGACAAACACTTATCAGGGGTGCTCTAGGCTGATCCTGCACTGAACAGGGGGTTGGACTAGATGGCCTGTATGGCCCCTTCCAGCTCTGTGATTCTGTTGCACATGAATAAAAGTATCTTTGAAGGTGGAAAAACACATTTTTCATTTCCTATTGTATTTATTTCATTTTTACCCCCCTTTCCCTTACAAGGAGCTCAGGGCGGCATGCATATTTCTCTCCCCTCCTCCATTTTACCCTTGCAACAATCCTGTGAAACAAGTTAGTTGAGAGAACGTGACTGGCCCAAGATCACCCCGTGAGTTTCATGGCAAGTGAGGCTCTGGACCTGAATCTTCTGGGTTCTTGTCCAGCACTTAACCCCTGCATCTTATTAACTCTCACTGTTTTGAGGGTATGTGCACATCAGAGCAGACGTTGTCTTACAAGAAACATTCCCTTCCATGCAATGGTAAAAGGGGAATCTCTAAAATAGTACCTGCCATCTGAATTTTTATCAATTTTTATATTGAAAGTCCTTTTAAAAACTTCTTTGTCCAATTAATGGGAAGCGGCACATCTTTGTGTTTGATCAATCAAGCCGATCAGTCAGCTGCAGGTCCCAGCACCAAATAATCCACCCTTATGGCACGAATGCCAATGAAAGTCATGGCAATGACGACAACTTAATCTATCCCACTCTACATTCTGAGACAGACACCTAGCATAGTGATAGGGTAACAGGCAGTCCCACAATATTTTGCAGATGAGCTTTTCCATAGTCCAGTAAGAATCTAATTTCTTCTACTCACAAAACAGCCAACTGTTATCCCTTGTTACAAGTATTTCATCAGAAGACGTTTCTCTCTATGTTTCCCATATGGAAGTTTCTTTCTTTTGCCACGTACACGTATTTCAGATCACTGAGTGTGCTTGCCTGTCTCTTGCTTCAGTTGGTCTCTCTCTCGCTCTCTCTCTCTCACACACACACACATATGCACGCACACACGCACAATCCATTACAGAGAGGAAATTAACAGAGATCACAACAACTTGGTCCCAAAGATCACACACAAGTGTGCAGAAGGTGGGCCCGCTTCCTTTCTTATGCTCATAGCAGTAAATGAAAGACAATGCCTTTCACTTGAAAAGTAGCATTTCAAATCCAAGCCACAAAGTCTGCAGAAATATTCCACTGCTTAAGAGGCAGAGATACAAATGCTGCCCCCAGAACAGCACTCAAGAATTACATAATACTCTGGAAAGCTCCTCAGTGCCAAAGTGGTGATGAATACTGACTTGGCCCCTTCTCCAAATTCCCTTCCTTCTGACACTGGTCCCAAAAGACTGCTGAAGGAGAAAGAAATGTTAAAGTAAAATACAGTTTGGGATTGAAAATAAAAAGAAAGATCTGCTGAAAAACTACCTCAAGTACCATGCAAGGCGAACCCTCCGACTTTACTTAACATACTGCCTCCATTCACCTACTGTCTTACAAAAACTGTATGAAGCATGTGGTTTAGGAGCAGCTAACCACAGATTAACCAACTACGGCATCACTAAACATAGAACTTTGTGTGTGTGTGCGTGCAGCAGTTAGCCCACTTCCTTCACAGCCCTACCTTTCATTATAGCCTGCAGCGAAGCAACCTCTTCCTGCCATTGCTTCTTCACCTCATCGATAGCTTCCTGCTTTGTGTTTTCAGACACTGTCGCGATGGCTTTAATGTTCTCCATTTCAGCCTGGGCATCCATAAGCTGTGTCCGCAGTTGCTCAAGGTCATCCTGGGTTGCCTGCAAAGTTGCATTTTGCCTTTTCAGATCCTCTGAAATAAAATAAAATACAAAGTGTGTCCACTTAATAGCATGGCACGTAATGGCCAGGTGGTAATGCAGGAGAGATCGGTGAAACAGAACCCTAAACAGCCTGTATGATTGGTTCCCAATCCCAGTTCGACGGAGATCCTGACAACGAGCGTGCTCTCTGCACTGAGTTTACTGCTTTATTTAACCAACAGAATCACTGGCACTTCAGTTATGCCTCTACCACACAAAAGGCAATAAAATTCACTTTGGGCCTCAGTGGTGCTCCAGATTCTGAAATAATTTTTTCTAAAATTGTACTTTCGCATCACTGCCACACAGCTTAATCTCCTCCTAAACTACAGAAAAGGAGCTGCGGTGGCTCAAGTGGTTAAGACGCTGAACTGCAGGCTGTGGAAGGTCGGTAGTTCAGCTGTTGGAGACCCGAGTGTGCCGCATGACGGAGTGAGCTCCCGTCTCTAGTTCCAGCTCCTGCCAACCTAGCAGTTCAAAAGCAAGAAATTGCAAGTAGATAAATAGGTACCACTTCGGTGGGAAGGTAACAGCGTTCCGTACGCCTTAGTGTTTAGTCATGCCGGCCACATGACCACGGAAACGTCTTCGGACAGTGCTAGCTCTTTGGCTTTGAAACGGAGATGAGCACCGCAACCCTAGAGTCGGATTCGACTGGCTTTCGAGCAAGGGAACCTTTACCTTTTAAACTACAGAAACAGACACAATGAAGGCTTTGAGCCAAGAGTGCTCAAAGAACTTTCTAGGGAGCTTGCAAAGCCTTTGTCCGTCACCTTCCAGACCTCTTGGGAGGATGAGACATGCCACAACACTGGAGGAGGGCAGATGTTATCCCAATTTTCAAAAAAGGGAGGAGGGCTGACCCGGGAAAGTAGAGGCCAGTCAGTCTGACCTCTGTCCCAGGAAAGATACTGGAGCAGATTTTATTTTATTGATTTTTTTTTTATTAAACATAGATAAATTCACATAAAACATTAAACAGAGAGCTTGACATAAGATACAATTTGTTGCAATACATAAAACCCGCTATACAGTCCGGTATATAATCAATTCAACCTTACAAAAACAGTTTAATAAAACACATAGTCTATACTTTTTCGGTATCTTGAAACTTTGGGACTGATTGGAATTTATATACTCAAAAAATACAAACCATTCTTCAGTAAATCCGGTAACAAAGTTGTGTTTGTCATTTAAGGCTAATTGCATAGAGATTTTATATGAGATTATATTATCCCATACTTTAGACTTCCATTGCGTTAGTGTCGGAATTGTAATAGTTTTCCAATTAAGAGCAATTAATATTTTTGCCGACATTAATAAAACTGATATCAGAGGTCGATTCAGGGGGATGGCGGGGATCGCAGTTCCCTCAGGTGAGGTGCGGGGGGCGGGGCACACGACGAAGCCCCGCCCCTGCTTCCGGCTGCCCCGCTTCTGGCCCTCATTCAGCCAGGAGGAGTAAGGAGAAGAGGGAGGGTAAGTTGCTTCCTCCCCGCCTCTCCCCACCCCTGCCTGCCTGGGGCCAGGGAGGGCCTTGGCGGGGCTTCCTCGCACTCCCGCCGGCCTTGCAGGTCCACCGCTGGGCCCCTGATGTCAGGGGGTGTGGCATATGCTAATATTTTTTATTTATTTATTTATTTTGGAATTTATATCCCGCCCTACCCATATGGCCCAGGGCGGCAAACAAGCGGCAACGCCGGAAATAAAACATAGATCACATTAAAACCTCAATAAATACAAACTAAAATGGTGCTCTACAGTTCATTTTAAAAGTTCAAGATGGTCGAGTTCCCCTAGCTCTTTTTCTACGAAACGACCCCTGATTGATATTATCTCTTCAGTTTGATTACTGAGATGTAATTCTGGCCAGTAATGAAGAAAAACGGAAGCTGGAGTAAATGGGATCTCATATCCTGTAATATTTTTTATTTCTTTTAGAACTTTAGTCCAAAAAACTACCAATTTCAAACATGAAAACCAACAATGTAACAATGTACCATTTCCCCCACATTGTTTCCAACAGAGTGGTGTATATTTAAATTTGCTTTTAAAAAGGCTAACGGGGGTTAAATACCACCTAGCATAGAGTTTATATTACAGTAGTTTCAAATTGACTGATCTACTATGGAGTATACTGTTTGACCATATCTTTTTCCATTGCTCATCTGTAAAGGTAGAAGCACAATCCTTATGCCAACTTTCCTGTATGGCCTTTGATTTCGTCCAAATAGTGTTTAATAATTGTGAGTAACTGGAGCAGATTTTAAAGGGATCAATATGTGAGCATCTAAAGGACTTGGTGATCCGGAGAAGTCAGCATGGATTTGTCCCCAACAGGTCCTGCCAGACCAACCTCATTTCCTTCTTTGATTGACTGACAAGTTTACTGGATCGAGGGATTGCTGTTGATGTTGTTTACCTGGATTTCAGTAAAGCTTTTGACAGGGTTCCCCATAATGTTCTGATGGGTAAACTAGAGGACTATGGACTGGACTCTAGGATAGTTTGGTGGACAGGGAATTGATTGGAGAACCACACTCAAAGAGTAGTTGTCAATGGCATTTCATCTGAATGGAGGGAGGTGTCCAGTGGGGTGCCACAGGACTTGGTTCTGGACCCGGTACTTTTCAATATTTTTATAAATGATCTGGATTAGGGTGTGAAGGGGCTACTCATTAAATTTGCAGATGACACCAAATTGGGAGGAGCAGCAAACACACAAGTAGATATAGAATTCAACGAGATCTGAACACACTGGAAAAGTGGGCAACAATGAACAAGATGCAATTTAACAAGGGTAAGTGCCAAGTTCTACATCTGGGTAACAAAAATGAGGAACACATATACTGGATGGGGGGAATACTTCTGAGTAGCAGTGTGTGTGAACAAGATCTTGGGGTACAGGTGGACCATAAGTTAAATATGAGCAGCCAGTGTGAAGCAGCGACAAAAAAGACTAATGCGATCTTGGGGTGTATCAACAGAGGCATAACATCCAAAGCACAAGATGTCATAGTCCCACTGTACACTGCATTGGTCAGGCGGCACCTTAAGTATTGTGTGCAGTTCTGGAGGCCTCACTTCAAAAAGACTGTGGACAGAATAGAGCAGGTGCAGAGGACAGTGATGAGGATGATCAGAGGCCTGGAGAACAAGCCCTATGAGGAAAGGCTGAGGGACTTGGGAACGTTTAGCTTGGAGAAGAGGCGGCTGAGGGGGGTCATGAGTGCTCTCTTTAAGAATTTAAAGGGCTTTCACTTAAAGGAGGGCAGGGAGCTGTTCCTGTTGTCAGCAGAGGACAGGACTTGCAATCATGGGTTTAAATTAAGGGTGGGAAGGTCCCAGCTGAATATCAGGAAAACCTTTTTTACAGTAAGAGTGGTTCAACAGTGGAATCAGCTACATAGGGAGGTGGTGAGCTCCCCCTCACTGGCAGTCTTTAAGCAGCGGCTGTGCAAACATTTGTCAGGGATTCTCCAGGCTGATCCTGCATTGAACAGGGGGTTGGACTAGATGGCCTGTATGGCCCCTTCCAACTCTGTGATTCTATGATTCTTCCTTGAACTTCTGATAGTTCAGAGAAGGTAAAGCACAAAATAATATAAAAACAGAGAAAAGCACACATTTTGATCATCATTAGAACAATTATCTCCATTAATATGGTGCTTCAGATGGCTTCAAGAATTACGAAGGCCCATTTCAAGAATCTATTTAAGCAGCATCTTCTCTAATCTGTTCAGGATTTCAATGTCTAGGCCGTCCTCACTGCTGCAGCTCAGAGCTTGTACAGCCTTAATCTCTCCTGATGTGGTTCATAACTGGTTTGGGTTTTACTGATTAAGGCATCAGAGTTTGGGTCTGGTCTCACACCTTTTAAAAGCCAGATTTTCATTACAAGCAAAGTGTTCTTCAACTGCGTTCCCACGGGCTTTGATAATGCAGTTTGCACAAAAAACAAGGCAGGCATTCCCAGGTCGTCATGGTTTTTTTAAGAATCCAAATAAATGGGACCATTCACTCACAGTTGAGACTTTGGGATAACAACATTGTTTCCAGACATCAGTCGTCGCTTCCAGAGGTGTTCTCCAAACTCGTGCATTAAAAGGCCAAGCTAAACATAGCTGTGTATGTAACCAGATAAATCAGTCTAATTGGCAGGTGTTCGGTTTTGTGACACATACACAGACCACGAGCATTGAACGTTATCCCCATTTTAAGTTACTGTGGTCTATGTTATTTCACACTCAAACAGCGACTCATTTTGGACCCTGAGGTTTGAAAAGCTTTCATGACACACAATGCAAGAAACCGTATTTGGTATAAAAAACTTCCTGTCACCCAGTTAACATTCTGACACATTAGGGCTCACATTAAGAACCAACAATGACATCATTCCAGATAACCTAAAGCTTACCTTCCTTCGCCAGGTACAGCTCTTTAAATTTCGCCCTCTTTTGATTAAATTCTTGCTCAAGTTGCTGTTTTGTGCGCAGAAATTCAGCATTAATCTTTTCCAATTCTGCTACCCTTTGAAGGAGTGCTAAAATGAGCAAACAAGATAGAAAAGAAGCATGACACTGACCGTCAAGAGACTTGCATATCTTCATAAAGACATTCAAGGCAAGTGTCCTTGGTCTCTGAGCCTGACAGGAAACACAACAGCTTTCCAGAAGGCTCAACAATATAGGTTTTGCAAGAAAAGAGGTACCAACTTGTTACACAGTTATCGAGTAACAATTAGTCTTGCTGACCAGATGGACTACCCACTACAATCTCATTTCTCTGTCTGCCACTTGGACTGAAGGGATGAGCGCAGAGCCTTAAAAAAATCCCTGTCAGTCTCGTGAATATAAGGATATGTCAAATCATTATGCCTGGTTATCACAAACACTCTTGACCTGAAAGCACTCTGACTAGTCTGAAGGATGGATTTCCCCCTTCACTGAAAGCATGCTGAGCACACCCCTTCCATGTTCATGCCTGCAATTGTGTGGGGAAACAAAGCATGGACCAGACTGAACATCAAGATAGTTGAATGCTATCTGTGCAACTGCAGCAGCACATTTTCCAGTCATCATGTCTCCTTTTGGCTTATGCAAGCCTTTAACCTCCCCTCCCCCATCTTAAACACAATCCTAACAAATTACAAAATAAAAATCATCAAGCTACAGCAAAAGCAGGAAGTGGCAAAAAGCAGCAAATAGAAAGACAAAAGATCAGCAGCAAGAACTTTTCCTTAAGGAGCTCAAATGCTCTCCTACAGTGTTTTGCTTTAGCCCCAATATTAAAATGCATCAAGAAAACTGCAAGGTGGATTCATCCAAGGAACAGGGACGATTATAGAAAAGGTCCTGTCCAGTGTTCCCTCTAAGCTGAGTTAGTGTGAGCTAGCTCACAGTTTTTTAGGCTCCTGCTCACACATTTTTGTCTTATCTCAGGAAGGATGGCTCCAGAACAAACTAATTTATGCAGTAGCCAAATCACTCGCTCACAACTTTAATGCCATTGGCTTACAAAGTAAATTTTTTGCTCACAAGACTCCACAGCTTAGAGGGAGCATTGGTCCTGTCCCATATGGCTACATATGAAGGAGAGGGGTGTCTTTTCTGTCTCCCTTCCCAATACTTTCCCATTTTTTCTCCAGCAGGAGAACTGGAAGTTTTCAGGGAACATTTATGTTGCAACTTTCTTTCTCTCAAGTACTGGCTATGCTCAAGGCATTTATACTTTTACATTTCATAAATATGCCAGGCAGTACAATTTTATATGATAACCAAGTTATAAATTACGCATTTTATATTGTTAAAGCAGCAAAATAAGGCAGACAGACAAAAAGTAGTAAGTAGTGTCTATATTTTAATTTTGCTCAACATTTCTCGATTTTTCCCTCCTGAATACAATTGGGGTTTCCCCCCCCCCAGTCCAGCATTCTGCTTGCTGTGGTCACTGTCTACCTTTAGGAAGGGTGCCTTGTTTCGTTTTATACACACACACACACACACACACAAGAACACTAAAAATGATGTTTTCCCCACCTACAATCTATAGTGGTGAACCAGCCATTCTACCACCTCACAGGGCCATAGCCACAGTGGGGCATTTTGGGGTGGAGCCCCCCCATGAACCCTGCCCCCCCACACTTGATGCCAGACTGGGGGGAAATGATATAAGCCTCTTTGGGTCCCCATTGGTGGAGTCATCTTCTGGTCAGTTTCATTCTGGGGATGCTGTTAGGTTTAACAGCTGGAAGAAGGAGAGTGAAACTGACCAGAAGCAGCAGTGCAGTTTTCCTTTCCTTCCCCAGCCTCCCCCTGCTGGAAGGGGGGCTGGGAAAGGAAAGAGAGAGAGAGAGAGAGAGAGAAGGCATGGTGATGGTGGTGGGGAAGCCAATCTCTCTCTCTCCCATAACTTTCCATGGTCAGGGGGGTGATGGTGGGGGAAGCCAATCTCTCTCTCATGTGATTGCTAATCTCCAGGTGGTTGGCTGGAGATCCCCATTATATCCCATTAAAGTCCCTACCCTCCCCAAACCCTGTGTGCTCCTCAGCCTCCACTCCCCAGTTATTTATTATTTTTAAGTATAAGCATAATGGGTGCCCCACAAGAAAAAAAATTGCCCCACAAAACGAAAATTCTTGGCTACGGCCCTACCACCTCATAACCTCATTGCATCATTTCCACCAAATTCTGTTGCATGTTTAGATCAGTGGCTGTTGGAATTCCCAAGATGCAGGTGAAACAGGAAGAAAAGCCAGAAAGAAACTCATAGCATCCAGTAGTGGAAGAGCAGTCACAAATTTGCAATTAGTTCTGAACTCATCCTGCCTTGCATATTCAGAGTAATCATCATGCAGTGTGCTATGGTGATTAGCATCAGACTAGAATCTGGGAGACCCAGGTTCAAGTCACCACTCTGGTATGGAAGCTTAACTGGGTGATCTTGGGCCAGTCACTGTCAGCCTAACCTACCTCACAGGGTTGTTGTAAGGATAAAATGGAGGAGAGGGAAATGATATAAGACACTTTGGGTCCCCACTGGTGCGGTTAGAAATGCTGTAAGTAAGTAAGTAAGTAAGTGTGTGTGTGTGTGTGTGTGTGTGTGTGTGTGTGTGTACGTATCTTTCTTCCGTTCCTGACATATCTTCTGCCTTGGCTTTATACACAAAGGGACAACTGGAACCAATGAAGGGAAGAGCAAGAGTACATAAAACCTTAAGAGCCAATTCTATCTTACAGTTAAGTACCTCACCACATGACACAACAACAGTACATGGTGCAAAAGCTAGAATTTGTAATCACCTCCTTCACACTTGCTTATCTGAAGGGCATTCTGGTTTTCAATGCCCAGAGGTGTACTTCACCAGGTCAGTAAGTATCATGAAGACTTAAGCCAGATTTTATAACCCAGAAGACAGCAACAAATGATAAGTCTCTGCATTCAACAAACATACCAATTCCAAGGTTGAGTAAAATGACTATCAAAGATTATCCAAAATCCCACAAACAAAACTTCAAATGATGCTCTGCTGTCTTAAAACAGCAGCCACTTCTTCCTGTGTGGTAAATTTCATTAAGGAACAAACACCCATTCTGTGTACTGCTCCACTTAAGCAATTTGTTCCCATCCCCATGGGCAGACACACAGCCATCGGTTTTTAATAATAGCCCAGTTACTGCAAGCTTTAAATCAATACATCCATTAGAACAGTTTACATAGCATGCACAGTAATTATACACTACAAATAATATTTTTGAAGTAACTATAATACCTTCACCATCAACTATTGGTCAAAACCTCTCCCACCCAAGCCTCTACCAAAATTGTTATTTCCACAGCACAAACTCTCATCTCTTAAAGCACTTTTTGACACCTGAGGTTCCCAGCTTCTGACCTCTCCGCTGTTAATACCTGTCCTACGTAATCATATCCTGCCAATTTGTGGCACTTTGTAGTTCTAGAAGGCAATGAAGCTGGATGTTTTCCCAAACCCACCACCGTTATCTGTCAGACAGGAACAACACTCTATGAAAATCTGCATTAAAAAGCAAATTGTATCGCGCCTCTGAAGTTTGAAGACCTTTTAACGTAAGCCCTAAGAACCAGCCGTTGTAAAACACTAAAATGTGCAAAAATTAAAGGTTGTTTCAGCCGCAGATATACCAGAAGTGCAGCTGTTGCAAGCATACATACTCACAATATTGCTCTCTGATTCCAATTCCAATTCCAATAACCTTTATTGGCATAACAATAAAGATAAAAAGAAAACAGTACAAATCAGCCCATAAGCCAACAAATAGAAACAGAGTACAGCGATTTGTAACATTGTATATAGTAATAATAATAGGGCAAGGTGATAAAAGTTCGGAACAATAATCTCGAGTATCAGAGTAATTAAAACAGTTGCAGCAAGAAACTTAACTATCTGGAGAGGGATCATAGATACACCTTATCTCTCTCGCTCACTCTCCACCTCCTTTCCTCTTCCCTCTTTTCTTTCCTCTTTTTCTTAGCCCCTAAGTACATTTGCCAGGAACTCTGCCACCTGCTCAGTAACTTCAGGGTTTTTATCCGCTAGTAAGAATTCAATACCTCTATTGGTCACAGCCTTAGAGAGTTGAAGGAGAGGGCTAATCAAGTGTGAACGTACCTGAGTAAACAGCGGGCAGTTTAAGAGGATATGCTCAACAGAGTCAGGTTCTTTGCTAAGACATCTGCAGAATCTTGCCTCATAGGGGATGCCCTTGTATCTCCCTGTGACCACGGCCGAAGGAAATATATTGAATCTGGCCAGCATAAATGCTCTGCGTTGAGAATGGATTGTTAGGCTTGAAAAGTACTGAGCCATAGAGTTTTGTGGGAAAGCAAGATCTAGGGAGCGAGGGGGGGGGGACAAGTCCCCTCTGTTCCAGCTTTTATTCATTGTAAGTCAATATCCTGAATTCTCCTTTGAATTATTTGGAATATATAGGTTTCACTGGAATTAACCAGGGAGTCTAAGTCAATACCTAAAGAATTAATTTTCTCCCTTATTAATTGGGACCATTTAGAAACATACGTATCAGCAGTTAGAAAAGTGATAAGACTATTTGGAGAAGGTGGAAAATAAAGATGTAACCAATATTTGTTGGTAGCAATCCAAGCTCTAGATTCTATGGTATAGAGACCCAACTCAGCACACAAAGTAGAATAACTAACCGAGTTGGGAATGCCAAGAATACGACGCAGAAAGACTGCATTACCTTGTTCAACCATTTTATTAAGGTCCTGAATCCACACAGGAACCCCATACAGTAACTGGGGAATCACTGTAGCCTGAAAAATTCGTAGGGCAGCCGGGACAAATTGGTTACCTTTTTGATAGTGAAAATGGGTTATAGCAGCCATCTTATTCTTAGCTAAGCTAAGAGAATGTTCCTGATGCATGGACCATTTTAGATTATAATGAAAGAGAATACCCAAGTATCTAAAAGATTTAACTTGTTCAATTTCTCTTCCATTGATCTTCCAGACAGAACGCCTCCAGCTCTCTGATTC